TATATTTGTGTAACTATTTTTGATTAATTTCTGCCTGTTTTGTTCAGTAATGTATTAAAGCTGTTCTATAAAATTCTGGGGGTGGCTTTCCTAGGAACTCAGATGGTAAAGAATCCAGCTGCGATGCAGGAGACCTGACTTCAATCCCTGGGTTGGGAAGATCCCCTGGAGAAGGAAATGGCAACCCACTTCAGTATTCTTGCCTGGAGAATCCCATGGACAGAGGCGCCTGGCAGGCTACAGTCCATGGGGTCACAAAGAGTCGGACACGACTGAGCAACTAACACACATAAAATTCTGGAGTGAATTTCAATTCTGATTTTTAATTTGGGTGGCAGAATTTAAATGTTTGTTAGAATGTTTGTTTTTCATGTTTGTTAGAATTTGGATTTCTAGGCTCATTTGATTGAGAGGGTTATTCTTTTCAGTCTAGCACATCTCTGTCCAAGCTTTCCCTCTCTCTGTCTATGGGTTTTCGAGTTGCATTTTCCAAAAATCAGGGCTATTGGTAATGTTTTAGGGTTCTTGTTATGTAGTGATTTGAGGATATCACCATTCTAGTCACCAACAGTGGGAAGTCAACAGCCCTGTCTTCTGCTTTTTATTAAGCTGAAATCCAATAGAAAATGATATTTTGAATATTTTTCAGGGAGGGCAGACCTCATATCTTGCCTAGAGAATCCCATGGACAGAGGAGCCTTGCAGGTATAGCCTATACAGTTCATAGGGTTGCAAAGAGTGGGACATGACTGACATGACTTAGCATGCACAGACAGTCCTCAAGCAGTGAGTTTGTCCTGTCCATCCCTTTGTCTCATGTGGAACACTTTGAGTTCCTCTTACACATAGATCGTGCCTCACTGCTTGCTTCTGGATCTGTAGCCCAACAGGCACCTGTCTAGCTACACTGTGCTATGTTTCAGATACTCGAATCTGCTGAGATGTTTCTCTTGTTTTTGAGGTCCTATTTTTTTCCCTTTATGTTTTTAAATGTTACTGATTGCTGTGTGTAGTAGAGAGGTGTCCAAGCGTGAACTTACTGCCTACTTTTAACCCCAGAATCGGAATTATTTTATTACTTATGACTCAATCCATTCAGCTTTGTAGCTACAGTTAGTCAATAAAGTATTAATATTAACCTACCTTAACAATGCTAGGGTCAAATAAAAATCACATAAAACTCATTGAAATGCCAAGTTTTGACACTTTATCTGAAAGAAAAATTTGTGCACCTATGCAGGTAAGTTTAATCTAGTGCTCCCAGTGCTAGGCATGGGGTAAAAGTGGTCAATCTTTTTTTTTAAATGGGGAAAAACATAGATACTTTTAAAGGAAAAGAAATCAAGATATAACACACATAAAAATTAAAGATGGACGTGGACTTGCCCTTGTAAAGTTCTGTAGTAAGGGAGACAAGAATTGTTAAGTATGCACATCATTTAGCAAGGAATCATACCACTGAGAAGCACTAGGAAATTTAATAACTATGGAAATGGCATAGAGAAATAGTTCCCCAGAAATAAGCATGTAATATGAAATCTTGACCCTTTAAATTCTTACCTGACTTCATCAGCATCATACGTCAACGCATCTATCTAAATCAAAATATTAACTTGGTTTCTATATGCTATCACAAGTGAAAAAAAACCTGTTTACCCTGGAATTGTATTTGTTTATTTTGCCACAAGGCATGCGAGACCTTAGTTCCCCAACCAGCAACTGAACCCACACCCCCTGAAGTGGAAGTGGAGTGTTAACCACTAGACTGCCAGGGAAGTCCCCAAACTGTAATTGATCATGACTTATCAGAACTTTATCAAGTTCTGCACATTTATTACTAGGAATTATTTCAATTGTAGAACTTTTTTTTCAATTGTAGAATTTTTAAAGGCACAGTCTGGGCCTCAGAGATGTAGATCTGTACAGATACACAAGGAAAACTTTTCTAATGCTTTAAAATTACTAACTAGGGCATGTCCCTGGAGATTCAGCTATCATCTAAAGAGGAAATGTTCAATTTCAATGTTTATACTTGAGCTCCTTTTTTGCTGAATCCAAAAAAAGATTGCCGTTTGTTTTTACACTTTTTTTCCAAAATCCTTTTCTGTCTGGGACAGGGTCAAGTGACTAAACAGTTAAAAATAGTATTTTATTACCTTCTATCTAGTCAGGGTTTCACAGGCTTCCTGACTTGGAGCAAGCTCATGCAGCAGGCTTCATAGGAGGGGACATTGCAGGGGACACACTGGGCTGCTTCACCCTCTGCAGCCTCAGAAGTGATCTGACCACAGCATCCTCTCAAGAGCTGACAAGGATTCAGTTCACTCATTTACTCATTCACTTAGTAATTACTGCACACCGGGGCTGCATTACAACTTTTTTTTTTCCATTTATTTTTATTAGTTGGAGGCTAATTACTTTACATCATTGCAGTGGTTTTTGTCATACATTGAAATGAATTAGCCATGGATTTACATGTATTCCCCATCCCAGTCCCCCCTCCCACCTCCCTCTCCACCCTATCCCTCTGGGTCTTCCCAGTGCACCAGGCCCGAGCACTTGTCTCATGTACCCAACCTGGGCTGGTGATCTGTTTCCCCCTAGATAATATACATGTTTCAATGCTGTTCTCCTGAAACATCCCACCCTCGCCTTCTCCCAGAGTCCACAAGTCTGTTCTATACATCTGAGTCTCTTTTTCTGTTTTGCATATAGGGTTATCGTTACCATCTTTCTAAATTTCATATATATGTGTTAGTATACTGTAATGGTCTTTATCTTTCTGGCTTACTTCGCTCTGTATAATGGGCTCCAGTTTCATCCATCTCATTAGAACTGATTCAAATGAATTCTTTTTAATGGCTGAGTAATATTCCATGGTGTATATGTACCACAGCTTCCTCATCCATTCGTCTGCTGATGGGCATGTGGGTTGCTTCCATGTCCTGGCTATTATAAACAGTGCTGCGATGAACACTGGGGTGCACGTGTCTCTTTCAGATCTGGTTTCCTCGGTGTGTATGCCCAGAAGTGGGATTGCTGGGTCTGCATTACAACTTTTGTGGGCTGTGGGTACTTGGCTTTTGTGGGCTGCTTCCTCTATAAAAGCACACTTAAAATTATACTTCATGACTGTGTCAGTATGATAATGACCACCATCCAGGCTGGATTCATCATTATATATAAATCATTGCAACGTTTTCCTTCTCATTTAAAACAAATTCAAACTAAACAAACTTATTTAGAAAACAAACAAACTTATGGTTACCAAAGAGGAAAAGGCAGGGGAGGGGTAAATTGGAAGTAATGGAGTTAACAGATGCACACTTTCATATATAAAGTTGATAAACAGCCAAGATTTACTGTATAGCACAGGGAACTGTTTGGTATCTTATAACAAACTATAATGGAAAAGAATTTTAAAAAGAATATAGGGAAGTATACATGTATATGTGTGTACATACCAAATAAGCCTAAGTAGTTTTATATCTATTTAACTCATTGAAAATGCCAAGTTTTGACACTTCCTCTAAAAGAAAAATTTGTGTAACTATTCAGGTAAACTTAATCTAGTGCTCTCAATGCTAGGGATGGGATAGAGTGGTCAAATTTTTTTTTAATGGCAGAAAAACTAAAGATTTTTAAAGGAAAAGAAAGCAAAAAATAACATACACAAAAATTTTAAAAATGGAGATGGACTTGCCCTTGTAAAGCTCTGATACCGGGGGAAATTTTTCTTGAGATGTGCCAGAGCCCTTTTGCCTTGCCCTGCTCAATTGCTTCAGTTGTGTCTGACTCTTTGTGACCCCAGGGGCTGTACCCTGCCAAGTTCCTCTGTCCATAAAATTTTTCCAGGCAACTGGAGAGGGTTGCCATTTCCTACTCCAGAGGATCTTCCCCACCCAGGGAGCAAACCTACTTGTCTCCTGTATTGGAATGCAGATTCTTTACCATCGCATCACCTGGGAAGCCCATCATATATACATACTTATGGTGGCTCAGATGGTAAAGAATCCGCCCGCAACGTGGGAGACCCAGGTTCAATCCCTGGGTAGGGAGGATCCCCTGGAGAAGGACATGGTACCTACTCTAGCATTCTTGCCTGGAGAATAGCATGGACAGAGATGCCTGGCAGGCTACACAGTCCATGGGCTTGCGGAGTTGGAAAGGACTGAAGGACTAACACTTTCACATGTATATACCAATCACTTCGCTGTACACTGGAAACTAACACAACCCTATAAATCAACTTTGCTTCAATAAAAAATTAAAATTAAAATATCTTCTTGGGCCCCTATTGTATACTGTCAACATGGCCTAATGGATAAGGCACCCCTGTTGAGGGCCCACACTGTTCTAAGAACTGCAGCCCTAGACAAGAACACAGTGATTGTCTTCATGGAGCTTATGTTTTACGAAGTGAGAAGCAGATAATAAAAGTACATTTAGCTTGAGAGTCAGTTATAACTGTTAAGGACAAAGGGCAGATAAGGAGAACAAAGACTGTTGAGTCGAGGCGACAACATAGAATGAACAGGGAAGGCTTCACTGGAAAGGTCTTCATCAAACAGGCATGCATATGGTAGAAGCACCGCTGAAGATGAGGAATCAGCACCAAGAACAAATCCCAGCCGCAACGCTCCATAAAGCGTCGCTCTCGAAGTTACGTATTCCCGACGCCTCTAAGCGAGCCCGAAGGTCACGGGAAACCAGTGCCTGACAGTGCAGGCTCCATTTTGCTTCCTGGCATCAGGTAGGAGGAGTCTATTCCTCGCTCACACGTTTCCAGTGGGTCAGACTGGATGCCGGGTTTCTTCACCTCCGAGTGAACCGCAACGCGGCCCGGTGGCGGGGGAGGAGCATCGAGGACCAGCCCAGGTGGGAGGAATTAGAGCGGCCAAGGCTGCCCTCACTCAAGATGGCGGCTCAAGGCTCGCGCTAGGTCCCGACAGGCGGCGCGCGCGTTTACGCTTCATATGCGGCCCTGCGCTCTGGGGGGCGGGTCCACAGAGGTAGGGGCCCGCGCGGCCTGCGGCCCAGTCTGAAGTCTTGGGCGCTGCGGCTGCCGCTCACGTCATCGTCACCACTCCTGGACAGTGGAGGGGAAGATGGAGCCGGTCACCGTCGCTACCGACAGCGGGGGCCGGCCCCTGTCGGCTTCCCAGCGTCGGGCGGAGCTGCGGCGGAGAAAGCTGCTCATGAACTCGGAACAGCGCATCAACCGAATCATGGGCTTTCACAGGCCCGGGAGCGGCGCGGGTGAGAACCTTCGTTCCCCACAGTCTCCTGCTCATCCCTTTTGAGTCTTGGGGATCATTCTCCCTTTCCCTCCTCCACCCCTTGACTTTTCTGACCAAGCCCTGCTCTCTGACCTCTCCTCGGGCCCCGCCCCTTTGATGAGTTCCCAGGTTCTCACTTCTTCACCGCAGGACGTTTCTCGTCTCTCTCCTCAGTTTTCCGCCGCAAACGGCAATGCTCTTGATCCTGAGACCCACTGCCGTGGTACCCTCTGCTCACTAACCCTGAGGCGGCCCCAACCCCCCCTCGTCACCCCCTCGCCTCTCTTGAAGGGCGCACATTTCATTCCCAGACTGCTCTACCCACGGTGCCCGTCAGGAAGATTGCCTGCCTTTCTTTCCCTTGTAAATGCTTTCCCTTCTAGTGCCTTCCCTAGCGTCTGCCTTCTTTTTGCTCTGTCGGCCCCTATGAGCTTGTCTTTACTGAGCTGCCCCTGTAGTTCGTCCGAAGTGAATCACGGACCCATATCCTGGTGTCTGTGTGCGGTGCCCTCAACACTGTCATCTGCAGGTGAAAAAAAATTGAAGCGACTATTCTTTAGAGACCCAACAAGGGAAACATGCCCATCTGAGGCCTGATCTCGTAATGTGCAGAGATTGATATGAATGATGTCAGAAACTGCCTTCAGCACTGAAAGGAGTTCCTCATTTCTCCCCCAATGACATGTACGATGGGTTTCCTAAAAAATTTTATTTTCCTGTGAGTATTTACTGTACTCTTAAATTTCCATTTAGTGTTGCATCTGATATTTGGCCTTCATCACTGGCTGCAAGTTCCTTAGATCCTTGTGACTTTTGCTCTGTGGGGCTTTAGATATATAATTCTGAATTTTTAGACAGCTCACAGATTTGCCACTGAAAACTGCCAAGAGAGGTAAGAGCCATATTTCAAATTCTAGAACAATTGTTAGGAGACACATTTTCTCCTTTAATGGTTAATAGCAGAATATTCTTTCCTAAAGCATTTTCTTTGTTCTTTTGCTGTGAGATTTTTATTTTATCTGTCGTTAAATGTTCCCCCGCCCTCTGTTTTGTTTTAAACAAGAACAGCATCCTAAAACTGCTGAAGTACCTTCTAATGTCTCCTAGATTACAGTAGAAGGGTTACGCAAACCGGTAGCAGTAGGATATGCCACACCCTATGCTGATCGGACTCTGGATTCAGAAATGTAATATTAAAAATAGTGGTTTTAGAAAATCTCCGTTCCTAACTCTTTCCCAACTTGTCTATTAGCTTTATCTTCTGTCCCCAAAGTTTGGGTTATATCCTCTGAAAGAATACTCTTTTTGACATTTTGTGTGTGTAGAGGAAGGAATTTGTTTCTTTATGAAGGATCAGTATTAATTCAGAGGCTGCCAAATTTTAGCTCTAGTGGCATATTTTTAAACATTAATAAGAAAGATGTTGGCCAGTATGTAATACTTAAGGCTTCTAAATTTCTTTTCTCAGAAGAAGAAAGTCAAACAAAATCAAAACAGCAGGACAGTGATAAACTGAACTCCCTCACCATTCCTTCGGTTTCAAAGCGAGTAGTGCTGGGTGATTCAGTCAGTGCAGGAACGACTGACCAGAGTGGAGTGGCCGAGGTAAAGGGGACTCAGCTGGGAGACCCACTGGACTCTTTCATTAAACCTTCTGAGTGCAGGAATGATATAAGCCTGGAGCTCCGGCAGCGGAACAGAGGGGACCTGACAGCCGACTCTGTCCAGAGGGGTTCTCGCCACGGCCTGGAACAGTACCTCTCCAGATTTGAAGAAGCAATGAAGCTAAGGAAACAGCTGATTAGTGAAAAGCCCAGTCAAGAAGATGGAAATACGACAGAGGAATTTGACTCTTTTCGAATATTTAGATTGGTGGGCTGTGCTCTTCTTGCCTTTGGAGTTAGAGCCTTTGTTTGCAAATATTTGGTAAGAAACGGTGGAAAATGAAAATTGGTTATACTAATGAGTGCTTTTAATCCATAAGATTCATTTCTAATATTAAGTAATATTTGTGGTCCATGTGACTGTTTGGAGATGTGTTATAAACTGCTGTTTGCCTTAGGTACAGAATGACGTGTTCCAGTTAAATACAGAGCCTGATAATAATGCCAAAATCTTTTTATATGCTAAGTACCATTCTAAGTGCTTTACATATATTAATTCGTTAACCTCATCCTTATGAGCCAGGTATCATTTGAATCTGTTTTGTAGATGAGGGAATGAAGACTCAGGTGAAATCATTTGTACAGGGTCACATTACTAAGTGACAGCTGGGATTAAACCCAGGCAGTTTCATTCCAAAACCAAATATCCTACATATCCTACATATTAATTACCGCTTTTCCGATAACTTGAAATACTAAAATGCAGTTTTGGTCCTGAACGTGATGTAATTGTTTTAGAGTTCAGAGGCATTCAGCATTTTATAATGTTGTACTGTTACCATAATAGCAGTCCATCACATACCCTTACATGCCAGTGGCTGTTCAGTGAAAGGTAGGATGTGTTTTAGTGTTTTACAGTATGTGAAGAAAAGAAGAAAAGCGCAGCTCGTAGTTCAGTGTCTTGCTCTTTGAGGTGTTTCCGTTCAGTAGACATTTTAAGAATACCTACCAAGTATCAGGCACATAAGTAAATTTTCAGATAATGAAGGTTAATGTTATTAAGCAAAAAAGCTTTTAAAAGTCTCTCTTTATGCCAGGTTTTTCTTAAAGAGAATTCTGTTAAACAGATTTTATTTTTTTCTGATGATAAATTGTCATTGTAGCTTTCAGTATTTAGTGAGATGTATAGCTGCTTTTTTTTTCCTTTTACAAGGCCTCTGCACTTCGATGTTTTTAAAATTATGTCCTGTTTTTGTGCCTCATTTTGTTTGAGGTTTTTTGGGTTTCTGGACTTTTTTCTTGCTGTCGGATTTTCAGCTGTTAATCACTGCTCTTACTGTTCTTCCATTTAGTAATGCTTGCTCCTTTACTCCCGTCATGATATTTTATTTTAGAAATAAATGTAACTGAAGTATTATTTTGATATTTTGTTTTATTGTGTGAGAAGCGAGATAACCAAGCTATTTTATCTATAATAAAAACACCTCATTATGTGAGGGCCAGAGATGAGTTCATTTCTTGCCCCACAGTGTGACTGAGGTATGTATGGCATCTGTTTTGAGTACTAAGCCTTTTTGATGTACTTTCAAATTGTCAGTTAATTACCTCTAGATGAGAGGAATGTTTCTGCATGATGTATTATACATCAGTGGCCACCTAACAATTTAAATTACTTAAAAGGTTAATTTTTGAGAGAGAAGACATTTTGGGGAATATCAAAAGAGTATCCTCCTTCATAAAATATGACTTGAGAAGCATGCTTTATGTTAAGGAAAGCAAATCTCTGTATTTGTCACCCTTTTGCAGAAACAGGACTGCTTTCAGCCACTAAAATTAAATTTTTATTATGGTTTTTTTTCCTTGGAATTTTATCACTGCTGTTAGTCTGATGTATTGCGATTTGAATGGTTGTGTTGGCAGTGTGTAACTCTGTCTTCTGTCTCCACAGTCCATATTCGCTCCCTTTCTTACGTTACAACTCGCATACATGGGACTGTACAAATATTTTCCCAAGGTAAATTCATTTTTTTTTCTAAATTGGGTGATATATTTAGATTGATTAACAACTAGATGATTTTAAGAACTTTTAAAAAAGTATTTGTACTTATGGTTTAAATCAGTGCTATTCAGATTTGTTTAGCTCACCACTGTGGATCTTCAAACTATTTGTTTCTGTTTGTACTAAGTTCAGTTGGCAAAGTAATTAGAAACTTTTATAGCAATTTGGCATTACTGTAACATTTTTATTGTATTTTACAAAAAATGTTAGTCCATGATGGACTGGGGGAAAAGCCTCATTACAGAGTTTGAGTAGTACTTGTCTAAGAAAGTATTTAACTTAATTACTTAGTAAATTTAGTAATACATTTTGTTTCTAATAGCGAAAGTTAATTTAAAAATGGCTTCAGTTATCTTCAGTTAGTGTGGTCCTTACTGAGCACTTAATAACAGTGCACTTTATCTTTAATGCCAAGGGTCTGATAACTTGCAAAAAACACTTGGCCATACTTAGAGAGCAGAATTATGAGGAGTATCAGTGTTGGCCTGGTCTACTTGACTATAGTTATACTATGGGACTTGGCTTGCCAGTATAGAAGATAAGCTTATTTGAGTAATTGTGTTTTGTGTGAGATTTTTGCTGAAAAATGGCTACTTGACTGTTTGCTTAGTCATTTGCAATGCACTGATGGACCTCATGTGTGTGTTTAATAGATCTGAAACATATTTTTGAGGGGTCATATAGTCACATACTCTAGTTAAGAGTAAAGAAGGATAAGTAATTTCATTTTTTAATTGAAATGTTTTTATGATATAAATATATATATTTATTGATCCTCTCCAAGAATGTAACTTTAATTAAAACATTTGTTTAAATGTTTGCCCTTGAAACATTGATTTTAGTTTTTCAGTAGCAGGCGTTTGGAAGCAACCTAAATGTCTACTAATAAGTGACTAGTTTAAAAAAATTTTGGTGTATCCATTCAGAATGATAAAGGTCTCCATGTGCTGATAATGGTAGCTTGTCAAGAAATACTAAGATAAGATAAAAATACAGACTAGCGTCTATAGTATACTCCTTTTTTTTGTAAAAAGGAGGAAAATTACATGTATTTGATTTTGCTTGTATATGTGTAAAAAAACTCTGGAAGAATATTACATGAAATTATTAACTGATTATTTATGATAGATGTTTCAGTTACTAGGTAAATGGGCAAGTGAAAAGGAAAACTACTGTACAATTTTCTTTTAACAAAACATTTTGCTGTAACAGGTTTCAACAGAAAAATCGAAAGAATTATGCCGTTAACACCCGTTTAGTTACCACCTAGATTCTGTAATGAAAATTTCATTATATTTATCATATATTTACTCAGTTTTCTATACATCTTCAATGCATCACTTTTTTTAAATGCATCTTTCTTTTTTTGGTGCATTATAAAGTATGTTGTACATGAAGACATCAGCATGTTTTTCCACTACACATTTCAGCTTACATATCAACGAAAATTCAGCGTTTCTTTATGGTTCTTTTTCTTTATTTTGAGGTAAAATTTTCATACATGGAAATGCTCAAGTCTTTATTATACCTTTAATGAGTTTTGACAACCTGTGAAACCCAAATCCTTTTCAAGATTTAGAACATTACTGTCAGGAAGTTCCACCATGCTCTTTTCCAGGCAGTCCCAGCCCCCGCACCATGAATGTCTGATTTTCTTTTTCCTACCATAGATTAATTTTAGCTGTTTTAGCACTTAATATAAATGGGATTTTCCAGTACATACTTCTTCATGCAAGGCTTCTTTCATTCTACATTGTATTTTTGAGATTCATCCATATTGTTGAGTGCATCAGTAGAATCGTTGTCTTTTTTTTTTCTGAGTAATATTCCATTGACTGAGTATATCCACTTATTTATCTAATTTTCCATTGATGGGCATGACTAAAGCCACTAAGAACTTTCCTGAATGAGTTTTTTGTGGACATAAGTTTTGATTTCCCATGGATAACTACAGCTTTTTATATTAAAAAAATTTTTGAGCCATGTGATTGGATTTGGTGATACTAAATCATTAAATTAAATGAAAATTCAGCCTTGAATCTCTTAAGGAATGAGACTAGAAAATTATACTAGGAAATAAATGTTTAATGAATAAATGTTTGTGTCTTATTGCGTGGGGCTTTCCTGATGACTCAAGTGGTAAAGAATCTGCCTGCAATGCAGGAGACACAGGAGATGCGGGTTCAATCCCTGGTTTGGAAAGATCCCTGGAGAAGGAAATGGCAACCTACTCAAGTATTCTTGCCTGGAAAGTCCCATGGACAGAGGAGCCTGGAGGGCTATAGTCCATGGGGTCACAGAGTTAGATATGACTAAGCTTGTGCACGCGCAGACACACACATCCTATTACATATGAAATCAAACGTGAATTCTTTGCATGGCAGTTAGGGTTGACTATACAGAATGTTCCTTTGATTCTGTTAAAAATTATTGACTGTCTTCCAGAACATCTATCACTTTTCTGACTTTTGTTGTTACGAGACTTAACCTTGCAATAGGATTTATCCACTCACTTCTCATCTAAATCTTGCTTATTCTCAAATGCCTGTTTTTTTTTTTTTTTTGGTCTTCTTTAATTTGAAGGCCTGCTTTTTAATTCTACTTCCTCCTGAAATCCTTCTCTATGCTTTATTTGAACATAAAATACTGGAGTGATGTCTGTCTCCTTCGAGCCACTATAGCACACATTATCCATGTCATTCATTTACCAAGTATTTATGTCCTGTCTGGGAATGCTTTCCTGTTTTCGTCTTAAACTTTTGTATGTATCTTAAATTATTTATATCCTAACTGCCAAGATAGGAGGTTTTTTTTTAGGACTTTTTTTTTTTGAAACTTTTGATAGCAAGAATAGTGTCTTTTCCTTATTGCCGAGCAGTTTGTTCCTTTACATATTATAAGCTCAGTAAATGTTTGTTAATATATTGTTCATTGATGTCTTAAAACTTCATTAACAGTTTTGAAATCAATTAGGTAAAAATAACAGCACTGATGTTTTTTATAGAGCTTAAGTAGTCTTCTGAAAGCTGTAATATTTATTTAAGTCTTTCTCTATGCAGAGTGAAAAGAAGATAAAGACAACAGTACTAACAGCTGCACTTCTGTTATCTGGAATTCCTGCTGAAGTGATAAATCGATCAATGGATACTTACAGCAAAATGGGCGAAGTTTTCACAGATCTCTGTGTTTACTTTTTTACTTTTATCTTTTGTCATGAACTACTTGATTATTGGGGCTCTGAGGTACCATGACGCCTGCAGAACTCAGGAAGAAAAGCTTATAAAAAATAATTTCTATATTGCAGTGTCTTTAAAGGAAGAATATTGGTTTACACCTTCATGTGATTCTTTTACTTTTTCAGTTTGTAAAACCACTTGATTAGGAATGGAATGACTGGTTACCTGACTAGAAAGGATTGAGTTTGTATTAATACTGATGCGATGATTAGAATGCCAGTGTCAGGAATTGATTTTTCTTGTTTGATTAGAATTCCTAGTCTACACTTTTTCCTAACTTCTTGGTTTTGTGATTTATCTTTTGGGAGCTGAGCTTGTGCTTAAGAGGGCAGATGAATGTGGTCTCAGCCAGTCCCAAGAACTGCATCTTGTATTTGTATTGTTCTGTCCTAAGAAATGGAGCCATCTTAAAAATAAAATGGAAGAACTCAAATTGTCTGTTAAGTTTGCACATTTTAACTTACAAGGGCTGCATAAGGTAATCACGTTGAGTCAGTATTTTCATTTTTATTCCAGCACAAATATTTAATGGAGGTAATGATTAAGATTCATACATGTGGAATTAATAGGTATTTATGAAATCTTTCTGAAAATTTTTATTAGCAAACTTAAAAATTGGAAATTTTTACTTTTGAGTTTTCGATTTTCAGAAGTATTTTTTTAACCAGTAGAATAGAATGATTATATATCAAAATGGGCTTTGAAAAATTGACTGAGGAATGCAACCCAATAGGAATACCTCCTTTTTTAACTAACTTAACACTGTCATATTTGGAAGGTTTGTCTTAAAAGAGTATAAAGCATAAGTGTAGTGTCATTTGGTATTACATTTCCCTAGTTTTTTGTATGGTCTGTTTGATTAATTCTTTGATATTAAAAACACATGCCTTTTTTTTTTATTAATTACAAGGTCTTTTTATTTTGAACCACCATAATGGATAATAAGTATAGCACTTTAAGTCTATTCCTCTGACTCAGAGTAATATTATAAGCACACATTTTCCCCTAAGTCCATAGACATCTAATATCTAGAGGATTAGATAGCATTCTTGAATTTGTCACTCTCTCCCTAGTCCCTGGGAAGACATTTGGGGTTTTTGATTACATGTTTTATTTCTTCCATTTTGTCACTTTACATTTGCGCAGATTTTGTAGATCATTATCAAATATATTTCAAAAAGAAGACATGAGTTTGCTTAAGTGTGTTGAATTGTATCAAATGGAGATAGAAGTTTATTAGTGTTTGGGATAAGTAAGAAGAATCTTTTTACTTAGAAATTTCAGGGATCTGAAATGTTTATGAGTTAAAACTATATTGACAAGAATGGTTGTTGAGAGATGACATCTTTGACCAGTAGCTTTTTAGTCTTAGTTGTATAAATGGACATGTGGACACAAAGTTGCTACTAAAAACAAGAGTTATGAGATTCAGGTCTAGGGTAATTAGAAACAAAATCTGTTTTGGAAGCCAGATCAGTTTGTTAAATAAGTGATGTATTGGAGACATAGTGGACCATAATTACTTCTTTCACCTCTGCTAATAGGTAAAGGTAACTTCTTCAAGGACACAGAAATTCTGTAAACTTGCCGTGCATATGCTGTGGCATAAAAAGCCAGTTAGAATTGTCATGTGAATGTAATCTCTTAAAAGGGAGTTAGAAATGAAGTATCTGGGAAAGGGCTCTAGCCTGGGTATCGGATACCTGAGTTCTGGTTCCACTTTAGATTCCAAAAGATCAGTGATCTGGGATTGAATTTGTTTCCCACGACTCAGTGGCCTCACTTAAGAAATTTGAGAAAGTGACTTGAAAAATCTGTTCCAGCTTTATCACTAAGTCCTTTATGGCCTCATCCAGTTCCCTGGCTTCAGATATCAGGTACAGAAGAACCTTGAATTAGGGTGGTTTGACTTAGAATTTTTTGACTCTATGATAATGTGAAAGTGACACATTTGTTAGAAACCATACTTCAAATTTTGAATCTTGATCTTTTCCTAGGCTAGCCATCTGCAGTATACTACTCTCTGGTGATGCTGGGCAGTGGCAGAGAGCTGCAGCTCCCAGTCTGCCACTCCATGATGATCCACTTAAAAGTTTTATTCACATAAGCCATTCTGCTTTTAACTTGCAATGCAGTGCAGTTCTGTTCAGTCGCTCAGTCATGTCTGACTCTTTGCAACCCCATGAACTGCAGCACGCCAGGCTTCCCTGTCCATCACCAAGTTCCAGAGCTTGCTCAACTCATGTTTATTTGAGTTGGTGATGCCATCTAACCATCTCATCCTCTGTCATCCCCTTCTCCCACCTTCAATCTTTCCCAGCATCAGGATCTTTTCAAATGAGTCAGTTCTTCACATCAGATGGCCAGAATATTGGAACATCAGCTTCAGCATCAGTCCTTCCAATGAATATTCAGGACTGATTTCCTTTAGGATGGACTGGTTTGATCTTGCAGTCCAAGGGACTCTCAAGAGTCTTCTCTAACACTACAGTTTATAAGCATCAATTCTTCAGCACTCAGCTTTCTTTATGGTCCAACTCTCACATTCATGTATGACTACTGGAAAAACCATAACTTTGACTAGATGGACTTTTGTTGGCAAAGTAATGTCTCTGCTTTTTAATATGCTGTCTAGGTTGGTCATAGCTTTCTTCCAAGGAGCAAGCGTCTTAATTTCATGGTTGCAGTCACCATCTGCAGTGATTTTGGAGCCCAAGAAAATAAAATCTGACACTGTTTTCATTGTTTCCCCATCTATTTGCCATGAAGTGATGGGACCAGATGCTATTATCTTATAGTTTTTTGAATGTTGAGTTTTAAGCCAACTTTTTCACTCTCCTTTTTCATCAAGAGGCGCTTCAGTTTCTCTTCGCTTTTTGCCTTAAGGGTGGTGTCATCTGCATGTCTGAGGTTATTGATATTTCTTGTGGCAATTTTGATTCCAGCTTGTGCTTCATCCAGCCCGGTACTTTGCATGATGTACTGTTAATATAGGTTAAATGAACAGGGTGAGATTCGATTAAAGACTGAGCATGGCCCTGCCCATCAGAACAAGACCCAATTTTCCCCACAGTCAGTCTCTCCCGTCAGGAAGCTTCCATAAGCCACTTATCCTTATTCATCAGAGGGCAGACAGAATGAAAACCACTATCACAGAAAACTAACCAAATTGATCACATGGACCACAGCCTTATCTAACTCAATGAAACTATGAGCCATGCTGTGTAGGGCCACCCAAGATGGACAGGTCGTGGTGGGTTCTGACAAAATGTCGTCCTCTGAAGAAAGGAATGGCAACCATTTCAGTATTCTTGCCTTGAGACCCCCATGAACAGTATGAAAAGGCAAAAAGATAAGACACTGAAAGATGAATTCCCCAGGTTGGTAGGTGCCCAATATGCTACAGGAGAGGAGTGGAGAAATAACTCCAGAAAGAATGTAGAGACAGAACCAAACAAAGTGAAAACAGCGCCCAGTTGTGGATGTGACTGGTGATGGAAGTGAAGTCTGATGCTGTAAAAAACAATATTGCATAGGAACCTGGAATGTTAGTTCCATGAATCAAGGTAAATTGGAAGTGGTCCAACAGGAGATGGCAAGAGTGAACATTGACATTTTAGGAATCAATGAACTAAAATGGACTGGAATGTGAATTTAATTCAGATGACGATCATATCTACTAATGTGAGCAAGACTCCCTTAGAATGAGTGGAGTAGCCCTCCTAGTCAACAAGAGTCTGAAATGCAGTACTTGGGTACAATCTCAAAAATGACAGAATGATCTCTTTATTTTCAAGGCAAATCATTCAATATCACAGGTAATCCTAGTCTATGCCCCAATCTCTAATGCCCAAGAAGCTGAAGTTGAACGGTTCTCTGATGACCTACAATACCTTCTAGAACTTTCAGTACAGTACTCAATAAACTACATGATAGTCAACACTTTATTATAAAATAGGGTTTGTGTTAGATGATTTTGCCCAACTGTAGGCTAATGTGTCAGTTCTGAGCACGTTTAAGGTTGGCTAGTGAAAAAGTTGGCTTAAAGCTTAACATTCAGAAAACTAAGATCACAGCATCTGGTCCCATCACCTCGAGGGAAATAGATGGGGAGACAGTGGAAACAGTGTCAGACTTTATTTTGGGGGGCTCCAAAATCACTGCAGATGGTGACTGCAGCCATGAAATTAAAAGATGCTTACTCCTTGGAAGGAAAGTTATGACCAACCTAGATAGCATATTAAAAAGCAGAGACATTACTTTGCCAACAAAGGTCCGTCTGGTCAAGGCTATGGTTTTTCCAGTGGTCATGTATGGATGTGAGAGTTGGACTGTGAAGAAAGCTGAGCGCCGAAAAATTGATGCTTTTGAACTGTGGTGTTGGAGAAGACTCTTGAGTCCCTTGGACTGCAAGGAGATCCAACCAGTCCATCCTAAAGGAGATCAGTCCTGGGTGTTCATTGGAAGGACTGATGCTGAAGCTGAAACTCCAGTACTTTGGCCACCTCATGCAAAGAGTTGACTCATTGGAAACGACCCTGATGCTTGGAGGGATTGGGGGCAGGAGGAGAAGGGGACAACAGAGGATGAGATGGCTGGATGGCATCACCGACTCGATGGGCATGAGTTTGAGTAAACTCCGGGAGTTGGTGATGCACAGGGAGGCCTGGCATGCTGCGATTCATGGGGTCGCAAAGAATCAGACACGACTAAGCGATTGAATTGAACTTAACTGAGGTAGGCTAAGATGACGGGTAGGTTAGGTATATTAAATGTATTTAACACTTACACAGTATTTTAAACTTAACTATGGGTTTATCTGGAGAAGGCAATGGCACCCCATTCCAGTACTCTTGCCTGAAAATCCCATGGATGGAGGAGCCTGGTAGGCTGCAGTCCATGGGGTCGCTAAGAGTTGGATACGACTCAGCGACTTCACTTTTACTTTTCACTTTCATGCACTGGAGAAGGAAATGGCAACCCACTCCAGTGTTCTTGCCTGGAGAATCCCAGGGATGGCGGAGCCTGGTGGGCTGCTGTCTTTGGGGTCGCACAGAGTTGGACACGACTGAAGCAACTTAGCAGCAGCAGCAGCAGCATGGATTTATCAGGATGCAACCCTACCCTCAGTCAAGGAAGATCTGTATTATACATTCTATAAAGTATGATCCCTATCTCTCCAATCTCATTCTCCTTTGAACTCCAAACTCACACATTCTCTTTCAGCCATTATCTTCTGGATACCTAGTAGGCAGAAACACTGATTTTTCTCTCCTTTTCCCACCAAATCTGCTGTGTCCAAGCCTTTTTCATCTCCACAAATTCACCACAATCCACAATAGCTCTGTTTAAAACCTAGGAGTCATCTTTATTCCTCCCCTTACCAGTGCATTTCACATCCTTTTTATCAATTAGTGTTTGGAAAGCACTGGAATACATCCAGAATCTGCCCACTTTTCATTGTTCCACAGTTTACATCTTTAGTGGTTTCTTACTTCTTTTAGACTTAAACCTACATTCCTTAACCTTCAGCCCAAATACAAACAATTTACAGTGGCTCTGATACCGGACTCCTGATGTCCATTCTGTCACATACAGGCTCGGGCTCTCCTTACCCTTGGTGTGGGCTGAACTACTGCCACAAGTGGTCAGCAAATCACAGATGAAGGGCAGAAGCCTGTCTTGGGGTCTTAACTTCTTGATTTCATTTTCTAAAAATTCAAATTTATTGAGGTAAGATTTCCATAGAGTAAAACACACCAATTCAAAGCATATAGTTCAGGGAAGTTCTTGGCCGTCCAGTGGTTAGAACTTTGTGCTTCCACTGCAGGGGATTCAGATTGATCCCTGGATGGGAACTAAGATGTACCATCGGCTGTGGCATGGCCAAAAAAAAGCATTAAGTGTACAGTGCAATGAATTTTGACATGCATCCATGCAATGATTGCCACAGTGAAGATACGGAACTTTTCTATCATGTGTAAGAACATAAAATAGTTCAGAGACATGTAAAGTAAATGAGACCCTGTCCCCAACTCTTTTATAGATTGCTACTAAAACAACTCAACATTTCAGTGTGTGTCCCAACAGGTGAGTCATTCTCCACCTTGACTGGATTGTACTTCAGAAGTATCTGAGAAGCTTGAAAATTCCCAGTGCATAAGAGGGTCTCCAGACCAATTAAATCAGAATATCAGAATGGAACACAAGCATCCGTATGTACATATTTAAGCTCCCAAGTGCAGACAACGTTAAGAACCATGATAATCTTTGTTTTTTTTTTGTGGCTCCTCGCGGCACGTGGGACCTTAGTTCCCTGACCAAGGATCCCAACCTGGACCTCTGAATTGGAAGCACTGGAATGCTGCCAAGAGAGCCATTCTAATCTTGTATACAGATGTTTAGCTCATCCTCCTCTTCACGGAGTTAACTCCTTCTCAGTTTTCAAATCTTACTTCAAAGGTTAGTTCCTCAGGGAACTCTTTTTCTGAATCCTGCTCCTACGGTAGAATCTCTTTCCTGTTGTAAAACTTCTGCAAGTGTTTGTATTAATGTCTATGTATGCCACTGGGCTTCCCTGGTGGCCCAGACGGTAAAGAATCTGCCTGCAATGCAGGAGACCCGGGTTCCATCCCTGGGATGGGAAGATCCCCAGGAGAAGGAAATGGCAACCCACTGTAGTATTCTTGCCTGAGAAATCCCACAGACAAAAGAGCCTGGCGGGCTACAGTCCCTTGGGTGGCAAAGAGACATGACTGAGCAACTTTCACTTCACTTCATGTCTGCCACTACATTGAAAGCTCATTGGAATCTAGAACATGCCTGACACGTAACAATATGTATAAATGAATATATAAATGAATGAGAGTGAATTGAAATGTTTGTAGCATCACTTAGCTCAGGTTAAAGCAGATGTCAGTATACTTCCTGGGACAGCTCGGGGATCTTTATGGCGCTTTAGTGCTAGTGAGAAAGACCCTCCCAAGGTCTGCAAGGTTGAGGCATTGCCCACTACCGCACCGAGACCTGCGGGCTCCCGTGACTGTGCAAGGAAAACAGCGGAGGCGATAAATTTTTGCGCAGCCGGTGCTGTGCGGCCTCCAGCCTATAGGGGGCGGTGTGGAGTGACAACCACTTCCGGCCCGGTTTTTCCTTCCTTCCTCTGGCGCCAGCACGTCGTGTTTTCGTTGGCCCCGTTCGGATGGCAGCTGCCGCTGTTTCTGCGGCCGCCTCTTAGTGGTACCCCTTTCCCGGCGTGCCGAGGGCGGTGCGGCCTCCTAATCTGTCCGGTTCTCCTGCGCGTGGTTCCGAAGGGCGCCGGTTTCCCACATCAGGCGGTATGGGCAGGGAGTCACGGTAAGGCGGGGTGCCGACTGCCGAGCGGTACAGGCGGGAGGCGAGGTGGCCTCGGGGCCCGGCCTGGCTAGCGCGACCCCACGTGTGGCCAGTGCTGCCCGCGGCTGCTGAAGGGGCTGGGGGACCTCTGCTGAGGGGAGTGGCTGCACTTGGGTGAGCGGTAGGCACAGGGTTCCCCTGCTCTGCCATCGGCCGGTTCGAGCCCATGGAGCGGGAATACCTTTCCAGGACTTCTAAGAGATCCCGCCATTTCCGCGGAGCTTTCCAGGATCTCATTCAATGGCGATCCCAAGTGAATTTCTCACCACTTCGCGTTTGGACCATATCTTTGATTCCTACTTTAGTTCTTTGTGAGCGCGGTATATTTTGTTAAGTTAATTGAAAGGAGTGTGTGGTCATACATTTTTACAACACCTATAACTTTGTACATGACTAGGCTTTTATTGGGCTACAATAAATGCTTGTGACATGGACATTTACTCTGTAAATAGATCTCAGATTTCTTTGTTATGTGTTTTTTATCCTTTTAAAACTGAGAATTGGGAGCTCTTATTAGAACTCTTTTCAAAAACAGTTTATATTGTTCCCTGGTTTGGGATCTTGAGATTTTTATCTTTAATGTACAAATTTGGTTAATATTTAGCGGTTCCTGAAAGATAATTTATATGTAGGATGTAAAAAGTAAGGTAGTAGCAGTTTACTGAGGTATAATTAACTTTCAGGGAAATCGGCAACGCTTAAGGGTAGAGCTTGATGAAATTTAACAAATCTATAAAGTGTTTATTCGTTTACCTGGATAAAGAGTTTCCACAACTACGGGAAGTTTGTTTAAAAGTCTTTGAAATCTCCGTGAAAGCATTGGTATTTGTCTGGTCACCCAGGTGGGAAACCTGGAAGTGATATTTATTTGACTCATCCTTCTCTCAGTGTTTACATCCAGTTAGATTCTGCACTCTGTTGCCATTCTTGCTTTCCCTGACTTAATTCAGGCCTTAATCATATATTGCTCAGACTGCTACATCTCCATCATCTTCCTCTGATCTTGCTCTCCTAACTGATTCCACACTGCATCCAGAATGATGCTTCTGAAATAAACATAAGATTATGTCATTTCCATGCTCTCATGTCCATTGGTTCTTACTGCTTTCAAAATGAATTCTTCAGGGCCCTTCCCAAGAAGGTCCCTTCCATCCCTTAGTCCTCTCCCCCTCTTCTCTGCCTTCCATGACTTGTGCAGGAGATTTGCTGTTGTACTTGACATTTAATTAATTGTTAAAATACCCAATATCCAGCTTTTGATACTTGTCAACAGCTCTACACCTGATGTTCTGATCCAGGCCGCCACTGTCTCTGACTTGCTTGCTGTTTACCTGTTTTCCCTGCTTCTGCTCTCACCTTTCTTAGGTTTGTTTTCTCCTCAGTAGCCAGAGTAATGCTTTAAAAACAGTAATGCTTAAAGTCTTGCAGTAGCCTTCTCAAAGAAAAAAAAAGACTGTCCTGATAACCGCCTATAAAACTCTCCATATTTGGCTACCATGCTACTCTCAGCTGTTTTTCTCCATAGCTCCAAATGACATTGTATTGACTTATTCATTTTTTTTTAAACTTGTCTTCTCTTCCTTTACCAGAACACAAAGCTGCTTGAGCCTCAAAAGTAGGAACTTGGTCTCTCTTGCTTACTGTTCTTGCTTCTCTAACAGTTTTTCCTCTCTACATGTGCTGCAGCAGAAGGGTTTGCTCTTCCCCTCTAATTTTAAAGAAGTTGATGTGTAAAAAGTCCTTTCAGTGTTTATCTGCTGAGACTTTTAGGGAAAACAATAAAATGTAATAGAGGCTAAGTGTGCTTGCTAAGATTAATCTTTAACTTAATATTCTAGCCACTATCGGAAGCGATCAGCATCACGGGGACGCTCTGGAAGTCGATCTAGAAGTCGTTCACCCTCAGACAAAAGAAGTAAACGTGGAGATGACAGACGGTCTAGAAGCAGGGATAGAGATAGGAGGAGAGAGAGGTCTCGTAGCAGGGATAAAAGAAGATCTCGGTCCAGAGACAGGAAGCGTCTGAGGTAAGACATTAATCTCCAAAGAACTCTTGATAAATTGGACCTTCTCAGCTAAATTAGGCTTCTTTAAAAGTTTTGGTGGTCCCTTTAATTGGTGGTAGAATTTGGTAGTCTGTTTGCCGGCTTTCTGTTTTAATCCCAGCTGATTTGATTAAGTGCATAAGGGATTTGCCCAGAACAAAACCTTTCTAACAGTGTTTTTTCCCCTCCTTTCTACTGTCAAACAGTATTTTAAGTTTATAAATGTGAGGTGGTATTTCTTGTAATCCAAAGAGAACTTAAAAAAAATTTTTTTTTAATTGGAGAAAAATTGCTTTACAATGTTCTGTTGGTTTCTGCTGTGCAACACCACAAAGAACTCTTAAAGCCCCCAGGAGAGGTTTTAAAAAAAAAGAAGTAAAAGTTGAGGTAATATGCCATTGAGGGAGTTCTAATATAATCCTGCCCCAAGAAAGCCAATCCACGTGTTCAGAGCCACCACTGGAGCTGACTGGAGAAGGGAGAAGAGAACAGAACCATGTCCACTTCTTGTTTGAAATGATTTTAAAGAATTTTTTTAGATTTAACCAAAGAACATCCTAGTTTTTAAAAGCTTATGCTTGATTAAATATTCCTTGGTACCACCCAAACGTTTGTAACTTGCCTTGTGGTGAAAAACAGTCTTTAAATAAAAATAATCTCACATGCCAAAAAAAGTTTTCTAATAAAGTTTCTCTTTAAAATAGGAAAGAAGACACAGTTATACAGGTGCTGTGAACTGATCTCAGAAAGAACTTTATCTTTTTGAGATATTGGTTCTTAGGGAAAATATTCACCCATAACAATGTGGATAGTATTAACTTACTCAGTTTTATATTATGTGGCCTCAGGAACAGTTTCATACAATACAGTCAAGTACTTATTAAGTGTCATATAAGATTTGGTCTCTTACTTTTTTTTTTTTGGTCTCTTTTTGTTGTGAAAATAAAATTACAAGATTTTAGAGCAAGAAGGATTTTGAGATTATTTGGTGATGTCTCTGCATTATATAGATAAGGAAACAGACCCAGAGAGTTGATCTGCCCTGAATGTGTCACTAGTTAGTAGCAGCACCAGGATAGAAATTCTTATCCCCTAATTTTGGTATCTGTAATCTTTCCACAGCCCCATTCTGCCCATCCTTATACTGAGATTTCAGCTGTCTTTGAAATTTAGATTTTGTTCTATAGGTCAAAGATTTCGGACAGCTATTACTACATATTTCCTCCATTTCTCAACGAACATCATTTCGAAATTAGTATCCTCGTTTTTCCCATTGACCACTTGTAAGAATTGGCTTTACTGTTAAACTGATTTGATAGTTAATTGAAATCTGTCTTTAACAATGGTAATAATTTAGAAGCTTCTTTCAGCATGAGGCAGAAACCATGATTTGAAATAGAAGTTCTACTTGGTCATAGAATAAATGAAACATGTCCCCCTTGCAGGCGTTCCAGAAGTAGAGAGAGAGATAGAAGTCGAGAACGAAGAAGATCTCGAAGTCGGGACAGGAGACGTTCAAGGAGTAGAAGCCGAGGCCGAAGATCCCGATCTTCCAGTCCTGGCAATAAAAGCAAGAAAGCTGAGAATAGGTAATGTTAACATTGGTTGTATCTATCATGCAGGTTGGGAACTAACTCTCTCCCCTACACTTAAAAAAAAAAAATCCTTGTAAATGCTGAATTTGGCTACTGCCATGAGCTGTTAGCTTAATTTTATTTCAATAAGTTATAAAGCTTGTAGTGCTTTTAGAAGATACCTAAATTCTGTTAGTTTTAACACTCATAATGCACTGTTCCTTCATTTGATACCTACTGTTAATGATCAGAAGTACATTTTATATACATCTTTGTGGGAACTATGTTTTTTTCTTTGAAGTTATTTTCTTAGTATTTCTACTGTTGATTAAAAAATAACATTTTTATGTTGCTGAGCTGCTATTCATAATGGGTGAACTTTGCTTGTGTAAGTTAAATCTACATATTTCCTTAAGATGTTAGTACTATTGAATTTTGAGATATTAGTTATATGTATTAGACATAATATGTTTACTCTATATTTCTCTTGTTAATGCTTTGTTCTTTGCCTATTACTGTTTCTATGGTGTACTGGCATATATGACTTTGTTTATGTTTTCTTCATATTGGTTATGAAGATTTTTCCTCATTTATTTACTTTATAAGTTTTACTTTTATCAGGTCAGTATTATAATGCCCATTGGGATAATTTTAAATTTAAAATATAAATTCAGAGAAATGAATGAAGTATAAACATGCAGTTTATTAAATAAGTGTAAAGCAAGATTCATGTAACCACCACCGAAGTTAGGAAATAGAACATTGTCTGTATCCCACTGGAAGCCCTGCATGTCCCTCTGCTAACCCAGCTTTCTACTTGCTAGATAAAATCACTGCTGACTTTGGTGTTAGTAATGTCCTAATTGTTTCTTTATAAATGGAAAAAGAATGATTTAGGTTTATGTGTTTTTTAATTTTACATGAATGAGCAATGTCTTCTTTTGTGTTTTTGCTAAACCTTGAGAGTTACCTCTGTTGCTCATAACATTAGTTTATTTTATTGCTGAACCATTATCCTGTGGTATAAATACGTGCGCTCAGTCGTGTCTGACTCTTTGGGACCCCATGGATTGTAGCCTGCCAGGCTCCTCTATCCATGGAAGTTTCCAGGAAAGAATACTGAAACAGGTTGCTGTTTCCTCCTCCGGGGGATCTTCCTGAACCGGGATAGAAGCCATGTCTCTTGGGTCTCCTGCATTGGCAGATGGATTCTTTCCCACTGAGCCATCTTGGAAGCCCTGTGATACAAATTTACCACTTTATGTATCCATTCTGCTGAGATGGTTGTTTGAGTTGTTTTAACTTTGAGGCTGTTGTGAACATTTTTGTATATATGTCCTAGTATACATGTGTATGGGCTCCCCTGCTGGCTCAGACAGTGCATACTCCACCTGCATTGCAGGAGACCCGAGTTCAAGAGTTGAACACCACTGAGCGACTAGGCATATCAGCATATACATGTGTATGAGTTCCCCTTGGGTGTATATCTAGGAGTGAAGTTACATGGTCATAGAATAAACATAGCTTCACTTTAACTAAGTAATCCCAAATGCTTTCCAAAGAGTATATACTAATTACACTTCCAGCAGTATATGAGAATTGTGTCCCTTCATACCCAGTATTAGGTATTGCCATTCCTTTAAATTTGTATTTGATAGCCATGTAATAAAAATATCATTATGGTATTAATTTGCATTTCTTTGATTACTGGTGAAGTTGAACACCTTTCCATACGTTATTCAGACTTCTTCTAAAGTACATGTTTAAAAAATACATGTTAAAAAAAATACATGTTTAAATCTTTTTCTCATTTTCCTATTGGTTTGTTTCTCTCTTTAAAAAATTGATATATAGAAGTTTTTAAATATTCCAGGTAATTGTATTTTGCTATTTGAGTGGCAGATATTTTAGTCTGATTTGTCTTACTCTGTAATGATACTTTTGAGGAACAAAGACTTAGAAGGAAGAAACATTCATAAAATGAAGGCAGTTAATAAAAGGATGAGGAAAACCTGACAAGGGCAGTGTGAAAAAATAAAGTTATAGGCTGTACTCAGTCTGAACATAAAAGATTAGCATGCTGCTTTTAACAGTACGTCAAAAAGATAAGACAAATCATAAACTAGTTGGGTTTATACCAGGAATGGAAAGTTAATTTAACATTAGAAACTCTATCAGTGTGATCCAAGATTCAAGGAGAAAAGTCATGGTTATGTAAGTAGATTCAGGAAAAGCATCTTATTAACTTCAACATACATTAATGTTTAAAAGTTCTTGGCAAACATGAATAGAAAAGTATTTAACAGACTGGTTATAAAATTAGGAAGCACTTTCAAAGAACACGATATAAGGACTTTCGCTACCAGGTATCAAGGCTTGTCATAAAGTTGTAGAAATCAAGAGTGTGGCTTTATTGTAGGGGTAAGCAAATAGATTACTGAAATCTTATAAAGAACCTAGAATCAAATCCACACATATAAGATCATTTAATAAATGACTATGGTGACATAAATAGTGGGGAAAAGTTTTTCCAATAAATGGTGTCAGGGACATTTGCTATCCTTTGATAAAATAGGACTGGCTACCTCCTTCTCTGCGCAAAAAGCATTTCCAAACAAATTAAGAACCAAATAAGATGACAAAGCTATAAACTTTTAAGTAACCATCTTATTTGGTTTTTAATCTGTTTGGAAATGCTTTTTGCGCAGAGAAGGAGGTAGCCAGTCCTATTTTTAGAACTTTATGCTGGAGAATATCTTCTTTACCTCTGGGTATCTTCATCAAAATTGGAAAAATTTCTGGGTGCCTTATTTTTTAAGATTTATTTATTTTTTATTTATGGCTATGCTGAGTCTTTGCTGCACGTGGGCTTTCTCTAATTGCAGTGAGCAGAGGCTACTCTTTGTTGTGGTGTGCGGGCTTCTCACTGCAGTGGTTTCTCTTGTTGTGGAGCATGGGCTCTAGATGCTGTGGCTTTAGTAGTTATGGCTCACAGTTGTAGTTGTCCTGTGGCAAGTGGGATCTTCCCCAAACCCATGTCCTCTTCATTGGCAGACGGATTTTTTTTTACCACTGAGCCACCAGGGAAGCCCTCTTAAAAGCACCAGTCATAAAGGAGGGGAAAGGTCAACTAATTTGATTATAGTACAGTTAAGGAATTTAACTCATTTTTAGATGCCATAAAGTCAAAATGCAAAGTTGTTGGGATTTGAAATATTACATATATCAGTTATCTTATACTGTTAATGTTTTGGTATAGTTCTCCATTTGTTACATTTTTAATTTCTTATTTAGATTTTTGTAATTATTTTTACATGCTGTGTCCAATTTACTTTTGGTCAGTTTGCAGATATGGAGTAATATTTGCAGTTAGTGTTATGAGGTTAATTCTTCATTGTATTTCCAAATTGCTTATAAACGGTATATAAAAATTCTCCTGAGGCTTGGAAGTTTATTTCTTACTTAAGAAGTAAAATACAAGTCTAAGTGTTTTAAAATGAATGTTTCCAAAAACAGATGATGTCCCCCTCTCTTTTTTTTTTTGGCAGGTCTAGATCCAAAGAGAAAACAGATAGTGGGGAAAGTTCTAAAGAGAAGAAAAAAGACAAAGATGACAAAGAGGATGAAAAAGAAAAGGATGCTGGTGTATGTTTACTAACATAAAAAATAGTATAGTATTGAATTTGTTTCTGTAGTGACTGGTTTTTGGTTTTAATGCTGTATGTTTTATTTTTAAGTAAATGATAGCAAATTTGTAAAATACATATAAAATGATAGTTTTCCCCATGAGGACATTTTTCTGAAAGTTACGTATCTATACACATTATCTAATTTTATATATAAAATGTGATCATTACTATATGCACTATTCTGTGCCTTGCTTTTTTGTTGCTTTGAAATTATGAATTACTTTATCAATATATAAGGTCTTAAGAATAATAAATCGCAGTATACAAAGAGGTATACTATTATATTTATAAGAGGTATACTAATATATATATTATAACTTAAGAGGTAGAATATCTTTCTTTTCCCTTTTGTTAAATGTTGAATATCTTTACATAGCTGTTTACATAGGTAGTGCTTGTTGTTTTTTATGCCTGCATAGTGTTTTGTTGAAGAAAAGGTAAATGGGTATTTAGGCCCTCTCTAGTCCACAGTTATAAACAATGGTAGGTTAATCCTAGTACACATGTGTTCTGTGAATATAGTATAGGGTAAATTAATACCAGTAAGATAAATTACTTTGTCAGTGGGTATACAGCTTTCCCTCAGTATTGGAGGGGGATTGGTTATAGGACCCCTTTGGATAGCAAAACCTTCTGATGTTCAAGTCCTTTATATAAAATGACTTAGTATAACCATAGGTATCCTCCCTGCATAGGTTGTCATCTCTAGATCACTTACGATACCCAATATGATGTAGATGCTGTGTGAATCGTTGTAAATACAATGTAAATCCTATGTTAGTAGTTGCCAGCCTAGGGCAAATTCAAGTTTTGATTTTTGGAACTTCCTGGAATTTTCTTTTCCTGCATATTTTTGATCCAGTTTGTTGAATTTGGAGGATGCGGACTCAGATCCAGAGGGCTGGCTCTAAAGATTTAACATTTTGATTGATCGTATCAAATTGCCCTCCACAAATATTGTGGAAATTAAGATTTTAGATGTGAAAATGTCTGTTTCTTCACATTCTTGCCAACATGGGCATTTTGAAATTTCATTTTTGCAAATGTGATAGGAGGTAATTGATTTCTTGTTATTTTGAGTTATGTGTGTTTAAACATGAGTAAATATTTTTAAGTGCTATGAACATAATGTAAACCAATAATTAAATAAGGCATTTTTAAGTTTGTTTACTATTTGCAGTTTTCTTTGAATTGCCTATTCATATCTTTTGCCCATTTTACAATATATTACAGCTTCACTTCCTTTTTTTTTTTGAGGTCAAATTTTTTTTTAAGGGATCTGCTTGCTGAGCAGGTTATCTAAGAAATTAACACAAGAAGTCTGGAGGTCTGGTTTCTGCTTTAGTTTCTACTATGGAATGACTGGGTGACCTTGAGAAAAAAACATAAGCTTTCAGGGGCTCATCTTCAGAGAGTATGGAATTATGAAGGATGTAAATTCAGGGACATAGGTTTCATTTGTTTAAGAAATAAATTTATTTTAAAAATATAAGTATAACCATATTATAAAATACATGGAAAGTCAGAAATAATTCTCTGTAATTCTAGATACCTAAATGCCATCATCATTGCAGTTTAATAGTATTTTCTTTGATTGTTTTTTTACATGTGTGTTTCTATACCTATTTATATAATTGTAGCATGTATAAAATTTTGATTTTTATGATGCTTAATCTTTAAGTCCTTGATTATGACTGTGAAAATGATTTGTCTTTCCTTTGAAGAGTATTGTTGATAATCATGATGCAAGCTTTCCTAGGCTGTTTCTAGGAAACTTAGACCTAAGGGCTAAAAGATCAGAACTTCTTAATGATGTTGATAAGTAACTTTCATTTACTCACTCGTTTGAAATAGAAAATTGTGATTAAAAAATCCTTCTCATGGAAGCAGCCTTGGAGAAGTTTAAAGGATTTACAGTTGAGAGTAATAATTAGGGAACTTTGCTTGCCAGTTCTTTCGGTTTCCACTTTGAGGGAGAAGTTGAATTCATGTGTGCATATTGGTAGTGACTAAAAGGAGAGTAAGTTATAGTATTTGAGGTCTGTCTGGCTTTCCCTGGTGGCTCAGGTGGTAGAGCATCTGCCTCCAATGCAGGAGACCAGGCTTCGATCCCTGGGTGGGGAAGGTCCCCTGGAGAAGGAAGTGGCAACCCCCTCCAGTACTCTTGCCTGGGAAATCCCATGGATGGAGGAGCCTGGTGGGCTACAGCCCATGGGGTCGCAAAGAGTTGGACATGACTGAGCGACTTCAGTTTTCTGCTTTATTAGTTGAAGATACTTTTCATTGTGATTTCATTTTGTTAGTTTATTCCTTAATATATTTAAAAGATGTGTAATCTAAATCTGGTCAGAATTTCGGAGTTTTGTGTAGACACCTGTTTTTCCTTTTCTTTTTTGATACTTTGAAGAAGTTATTTGGAGTGTCAGTAGGAGTAAAACTGTTGATCCTTATTTTCTTCTCTTTATTTTTTATTTTCACCCAAGAACTTTGACCAAAATAAGCTAGAAGAAGAAATGAGAAAGCGAAAAGAAAGAGTAGAAAAATGGCGAGAAGAGCAACGTAAAAAGGCCATGGAAAACATAGGGGAACTGAAAAAGGAAATCGAGGAGATGAAACAAGGGAAAAAATGGAGTTTAGAAGACGATGATGGTATATTCATTTGTTTGCTAATAGCGTAAATAACAATTCATGTAGAATATTCTAGTATTATAAGTAATAGACCATTTTTTATTGTGAAAAAATATACATAATGTTTACTATTTTAACCATTTTTAAGTGTACAATTCAGTGATATTGAGCAAATTCAGTGTTGTGCAGCCATCACCACTTTTCCAGAACTTTGTCATCATTCCAAACAAAACCCCTGCCTTATTCAACAGTAATTCTCTACCCTGCCTCCCCTTCCTCTTCATTTCTAATAACATCTAATCTACTTTCTGAGTCTATGAATTTGCTTATTCTAAATACCTTATATAAATGGAGTCGTGTAATATTTGTCTTGTGACTAGGCTTATTTTATTTAGCAAAGTGTTTTCCAGGTTCATCCATGTTGTAGTCTATATCATAATTTCCTTCCTTTTTAAGTCGGATAGTATTACATTGTATGTATATACCACATTTTGTTTACCTGTTCATCTGTTGTTGCATATATAAGTTGTTTCCATCTTTTGACTGTTGCAAATAATGCTTCTTTGAGTATTGGTGTGTGCATATCTGATTGAATCCCAACTTGCAGTTCTTTTGGGTTTATACCTAGAAGTGAAGTCACTAGATTTACTTTGAGGTTTTTCAATGCCCCTTTTCATATTTACTTTAAAATTTTAATTGTAGAGTAGCATTCAGTAAGTATCACTGATTTTACTTTAGAGTGGAGAGTTGGATTCTTATGGGCGGTCAGTAAATAGCTCTTTAATTTTTTTACTTCAGATATTAGTAGTGAGGGTAAGTTAAAGGTATGTTTCCAAGTCCCTCTGATTTTTTCCCTAACTTAGAAGAGCAGCATTTCCCCTGCACATCTTGATTTTTTTTTTCTTTTTTAAATTATGAAAGTATGATAGTACATTTACAAGAAACTTGGAAAATACAGAAAAAAGTTACATATATTTCCAGTATTTTTACAATTATTTTTTAAGTAGATAAATTAAGGTATTTAGTTGGAGTTTCAGTATCAAACTCTCAAAAGTTAATGGAGTGAATACATAGAAAAGTAGAAGGATATAGTAGACCCCAAAAGCACTATGAACCAATTAAACATAATTAAGATTTACAGTTTTCACACCGAAGCAGGATACAAATTCTATTCAAGTTTCCATAGACTGTGAATCAAGAGACACTGGAACATATCCAGGGACATAAAGCAAGGTGCAAAAATTTCATGGTCAACGTGTATTGAAATCATACAATCTGTTCTCTTATCATGGTGAAATTATGTTAGAAATCAATATCAAAAGATATTTGAAAATAACACATATTTCAAGTGCAGTGTGACATTTACCAAGAGAGAACTTTGACATAATTGTTGAAAGTCTCAATTAAAAAAAAAAAAAGAAAGTCTCAATAAAGTTAAGAGACTGAAGAAACAGAGAGTGATTGCAACGAAGAAAGCAATTAAATGAGAAATTAGTATCAAAATGAGAAATTAATATCAAGGATACTTTAAAAACTCCATGTATTTGGATAGAAATTGTCCACTTTTAAATGATGGTTGTATCTAAGAAATCATAATAAGGAAAATTAGAAAATATTTGTAGCAGAATAAAAATGAAAAGAGAATTTATGAGAATTGTTGAATGCAGCTGAAGCTGCTCAATACAACTAAATGCAACTTCACAGCTGATTTTGATGTGTAAGATGTTAGTTAAGTGGAGTAATGAGATTTAATAGGAAAAGGGAATTTTGCCCTTTTTTTGTGTGTGTGAAAATCCCTGTAAATTTTACATTTTCTGTGAAAGTTCAGCAGAGTGTTTTGTTCTGAATGGATTAATGGATTATGTCTTTAAATGGTGATAATGTTGTTCAGTCACTAAGTTGTGTCTGACTTTGTGAGCCCATGGACTGCAGCCTACCAGGCTCCCCTGATGATAGTTATGTAAAAAACACGATATTGTCTTTAGAATATGCTATTAATTTTTTCTTCCTCTGATTAAAGAAAAGTGATTGAAAGAAGAGAAATAAACACATCCTTTTTGCAAAGTTTTTAGTGTTGCTTCTATTAGTGTGGTTGTAAAATAATATCAGAGGTCCACTTTTTAGACGTATTAGTGTTTCTTCCTCTTTTCAGTTTAATGATTTATCATTTATTTCTTTTATTATTAGTATTCTTCAAAACTAATATTTATTTGATTTAAAACCTTGCCAGTATGAGTATTTGAACTGTATTGTGCCTGGGTTAATTGATAAGGAGGGTATTTGGGTAGTTAAGAGAAAAGGCTTTAATAGTAGGAGTGTGGTCTGATTGTGAAATATTCCCTGTTGAAACGCATATTCAAAGTGTGTTCTGATATTTTAGATGATGAAGATGATCCTGCAGAGGCTGAAAAGGAAGGAAATGAAATGGAGGGTGAAGAGTTAGATCCATTAGATGCTTACATGGAAGAAGTGAAAGAGGAAGTAAAAAAGTTTAATATGAGAAGTGTGAAAGGTGGTGGGGGAAATGAAAAGGTATGGGATTTTTTTCCTATTTTATTTTTAAAAATTTATATTCCTAGTTGAATAACTTGAATTCAGTGTTGCATTGACCTACTACTGACTTGCATGGCTTTATAAAGTTAATGATTTTGTTTCCTTCTGCATCTCAGAAGTGTCCGTACTTTTTCTAAAGAGCAGAGATACTAGCAAATTTTAACTGCAAATGTCCCTTTAGAAGTCATCTTTACTATTATCATGTTTGTTTAGTGTTTTTGCTTACTTGTTACTTTCTCAGTAGGTCCTTTTCCAACACTCCGATTATTTATACTCCTGATCCTCTTTAGTCTAGGTTTTCTTTTTCTTAATAGAATTTATTACCTTTTGACGAATTGTATAATTCAATGTTGTGTTTGTTTGTTCCTTCTTTCTTTCCTTCCTTCTTCTAAAATCTTCCCAAGAGCAGTGATCTTACCTGTTTTGTTTATTGATTCATCTTAAGATCCTGGGATAGTATTTGGTTTGTGGAATGAGTGAAAATTACTATTTACTAGTATTTTTAAAATATATAAAATTACATACTACATACCCAATTACCTATGTATTAATGTGTTAGGAAATATAATGCTATTGTATTACATTTTTAAATTTAAGTAAGTCGGTAAGGAGAAACTGGGCTACTGTTTGTTTTTGCATTGGTAGTCACTACAACTAAGTTAATTCAAATTATAAGTTGTTACAGTTATCATTGTGTTTCATTTGGTTTATACTTTGTGTTTGAACTTTCGCAAAACATTTTACATTCTTTTTTAGAAGTCTGGTCCAACGGTCACAAAAGTTGTCACAGTTGTCACAACCAAAAAAGCAGTCGTAGATTCTGATAAGAAGAAAGGTGAGCTAATGGAGAATGACCAGGATGCCATGGAGGTAATTCTTCTTTAATTTTTTACTTTGTTCATGATACCATAGAATGAAACAGCAGCCCACTCCAGTATTCTTGCCTGGAGACTTCCATGGACAAGGGAGCCTGGAAGGGTATGGTCCGTGGGGTCATACAGAGTCAGACATGACTGAGTACACAGCACGTGATACCACCCTATGAGTATTTATAAGTAAGTATTGATGGAGGTGTGCTTTTCAGTTATGCAGTTTACTCTTAGGGGAAATTCTTGCTTTTCTCAACAGTATTGTAGCCAGATATCCAAACTGGTAGAACATTTTCACCTCTTTGACCTCTTGTATACCTGCTTTTTTTAAATTGAAGTATAGTTGATTTACAGTATAGTGTTAGCTTTAAGTGTACAGCAAAGTGATTCAGTTATACACACACATACATATTTTTAGATTCTTTTTCATTGTAAGTTGCTATAAGATATTGCATGTAATTCCCTTTGAAAGTGTGAAAAGTGAAAATATTAGTCATTCAGTATGTCCAACTGTTTGCTACCCCGTGGACTGTAGCCCACCAGGCTTCTGTCCATGGATTTCTCCAGGCGAGAGTACTGGAGTGGATAGGCATTCCCTTCTCCCACGCGATCTTTCTGACCCAGGGTTGAACCCAGGTCTCCAGCATTGTACAGTAAATCCTTGTTGCTTATTTTATGTATAGTAGTTTGTGTCTATTAATCCCACATTCCTGATTTATCCCTCCCCCTTCCCACTCCCCTTTGGTAGCCGAAAGTTTGTTTTCTATGACTGAGTCTGTTTCTGTTTTGAAAATAAATTCATTTGTATTTTTTTTTTTTTTAAATAAAATTATTTTTTTTTCTTTTTTTTTTTTCCATTTATTTTTATTAGTTGGAGGCTAATTACTTTACATCATTACAGTAGTTTTTGTTATACATTGAAATGAATTAGCCATGGATTTACATGTATTCCCCATCCCAGTCCCCCCTCCCACCTCCCTCTCCACCCGATCCCTCTGGGTCTTCCCAGTGCACCAGGCCCGAGCACTTGTCTCATGCACCCAACCTGGGCTGGTGATCTGTTTCACCCTAGATAATATACATGTTTCAATGCTGTTCTCTTGAAACATCCCACCCTCGCCTTCTCCCAGAGTCCACAAGTCTGTTCTATACATCTGAGTCTCTTTTTCTGTTTTGCATATAGGGTTATCGTTACCATCTTTCTAAATTCCATATATATGTGTTAGTATACTGTAATGGTCTTTATCTTTCTGGCTTACTTCGCTCTGTATAATGGGCTCCAGTTTCATCCATCTCATTAGAACTGATTCAAATGAATTCTTTTTAATGGCTGAGTAATATTCCATGGTGTATATGTACCACAGCTTCCTCATCCATTCGTCTGCTGATGGGCATCTAGGTTGCTTCCATGTCCTGGCTATTATAAACAGTGCTGCGATGAACATTGGGGTGCACGTGTCTCTTTCAGATCTGGTTTCCTCGGTGTGTATGCCCAGAAGTGGGATTGCTGGGTCATATGGCAGTTCTATTTCCAGCTTTTTAAGAAATCTCCACACTGTTTTCCATAGTGGCTGTACTAATTTGCATTCCCACCAACAGTGTAAGAGGGTTCCCTTTTCTCCACACCCTCTCCAGCATTTATTGCTTGTAGACTTTTGGATAGCAGCCATCCTGACTGGCGTGTAATGGTACCTCATTGTGGTTTTGATTTGCATTTCTCTGATAATGAGTGATGTTGAGCATCTTTTCATGTGTTTGTTAGCCATCTGTATGTCTTCCTTGGAGAAATGTCTGTTGAGTTCTTTGGCCCATTTTTTGATTGGGTCATTTATTTTTCTGGAGTTGAGCTGGAGGAGTTGCTTGTATATTTTTGAGATTAATCCTTTGTCTGTTGCTTCGTTTGCTATTATTTTCTCCCAATCTGAGGGCTGTCTTTTCACCTTGCTTATAGTTTCCTTTGTTGTGCAAAAGCTTTTAAGTTTCATTAGGTCCCATTTGTTTATTTTTGCTTTTATTTCTGAAATTCTGGGATGTGGGTCATAGAGGATCCTGCTGTGATTTATGTCGGAGAGTGTTTTGCCTATGTTCTCCTCTAGGAGTTTTATAGTTTCTGGTCTTACATTTAGATCTTTAATCCATTTTGAGTTTATTTTTGTGTATGGTGTTAGAAAGTGTTCTAGTTTCATTCTTTTACAGGTGGTTGACCAGTTTTCCCAGCACCACTTGTTAAAGAGGTTGTCTTTTTTCCATTGTATATCCTTGCCTCCTTTGTCGAAGATAAGGTGACCATAGGTTCGTGGATTTATCTCTGGGCTTTCTATTCTGTTCCATTGATCTATATTTCTGTCTTTGTGCCAGTACCATACTGTCTTGATGACTGTGGCTTTGTAGTAGAGTCTGAAGTCAGGCAGATTGATTCCTCCAGTTCCATTGTATTATTTTTTTTATTCCACATTTAAGTGATATCATATAATATTAGTCTTTCTCTGACTTACTTCACATGGTATGATGTTCTCTAGGTTCATCTGTATTGCTGCACATGTGTAGGCCAAATTTTGATTCATCCTTGTCCCTCATCAGGACATCCCAGACATAGAATAGGGAGAGAAGAAATGAAGTGACAGAATGAAATTTTTTTTTTTTTTTTGAAATTTTTTACTGTTAACATTCATTGTAATGATTTATATAGAGAAAACTATGGCAGAACTTCATTAAAGCTGCGTTAGAGTTAGTTTTCTGTTTTAGCTTTATGCTGTTACTGTAGCTTTCTATAATGGCAAAGAGAAACTAAAAAAAAACTAAGCTAAGTTGGAAAGTTCAGAAACTGAAGAGGAAGAGAATGTTTTTTAGGAGTGGAACATTTTTAAAGTTAGGAATATTTCTTCCCATAGGAAGATAGTAATAGATTTAACTCTTAATTTCTCTCTTTTTATTGCAGTATTCTTCAGAGGAGGAAGAAGTTGATCTTCAGACGGCTCTTACAGGTTACCAGACAAAGCAGAGAAAGCTTCTAGAACCGGTGGATCATGGAAAAATTGAATATGAACCATTCAGAAAAAACTTTTATGTTGAAGTTCCAGAATTGGCAAAAATGTCTCAAGAGGGTAAAATTTGTTTATTCATTTATCGGTTATTGTGGGGGCAGGGGGAAATACACTTCACCTTGCCTGGGAGGCATGTTGATAGGCCTGTGAGTTGATGGATGAGTAGGAGAAATGTGCCTGACTTACTTGGAGAAATGAGAGTGAACTAGAACATGAGAAGTCATTCTAGAGAGTGAGACTACATCCACAAAGATTAGGAATAGTTAGAAATTAGTGTGTTTGGGGAAACATTTTAAAAAATGAGCAAAAATTAGTTTGGCTTACGTAGTTGAGCTTTTTAGGGGTGAAAATACTCTTCATGTGAAGTTAGCAAGTAGACTATTATGTTTTTCTCTTATTTGAGAATTACAAACCAGTATGAATCTGTGTGATATTGACAGAAAAAACATGATCTGGGCAACCCTTGCTTAAAGAACAAGTGGTTGTATTACTTGTGAATCACTGTTCTTTTATTGCTGTTAGAATTTAAGTCAAAATAAAAGCCAAGTTGTAGAAATCAGGGTGTTTCTTTTGTTCCTAGTTGGTTGCAACAGTAATCACTTTGTCTGTCAGAGCTGTTCAGTGCATTGTCATGGAGCTTTTATATGGAATTATCTTTGGGAACACTAAAAAAGAATTGATTCTTAATCTTATCATGCCTCATTGAAAAGTAGAGGGCACTAATAGAACAATATTTAAGAGTTTTTAATCTGGATTTTGTTTTGTAGAGGTGAATGTATTTCGGTTGGAAATGGAAGGCATTACTGTCAAAGGGAAAGGTTGCCCCAAACCAATTAAATCTTGGGTTCAGTGTGGAATTTCTATGAAGATCTTAAATTCTCTCAAAAAGTAAGTGTTCAACAGTTGTCCACATATTTCAAAATCTTGCTACTGAAAATAACCTGTTACACAAATAATTCCTTTGCTTATGTTTTTACTCTGATGGAAAATACTGATTTTAGTTAAACAGCTTTCTCGAGATATGATTTACATACTATAAAGTTTACCCTTTAGTTTATGATTTTCAGTATATTTATGAAGTTGTGTTGTCATTACCATAATCTAATTTTAGAACATTTTCATCACCCAAAAGAGGCCTGATCTATTAGTATTCATTTTTCTCTCTTCTTCTCCACACAAGGCAGCCTTTTACCTACTTCTTTTTATAGATTTGTGTATTCTGGACATTTCATATCAATTAGACCTACTTATATATAGTGCTTTGTTACTGGCTTCTTCCAGTTAGCATAGTATTTTCAAATATTTCTACATCATCCATGATGTAGAATGTCTGAGTACTTCATTCTTTTTATTCTCCAAGTAAAAATTTCATTATATGGATATACATTTTGGAAAACTTACAGTTTGAGAGTCCAAAGGTCACCACAGTCCTTATTGTTGTCTTCCTATGGTTTGCTTTTTAAGGCATGGTTATGAAAAGCCCACACCAATCCAAACCCAGGCGATTCCTGCGATAATGTCTGGACGAGATTTGATTGGTATTGCCAAGACAGGAAGTGGAAAGACCATTGCCTTTCTGTTGCCCATGTTTAGACACATCATGGATCAGAGGTCTTTAGAAGAAGGAGAGGGGCCAATAGGTACAGTTTCTTTCATTAAACTATTTTTTCATATAACAGCTTTGTCAGTTAATCAGAAAGACCTGATGCTTTGTAATAAGTATATCAATAAAGATGTTTTTATGTACAGTTCCTCTATAAATTTGGCACTTTGGGGCTGATTTCCCCTTACCAGCAGGTGGAGTGAGACTCTTCAGAGCTCTGGAGTGACGTCTCAGAAGTACAAAAACAGCCTCTCCTGGCACAGCTCAATTTTTAAGCTCTGACTCGGCAGGTAGAATCCTCGTGCATCTATCTGTTTATTTATGTTGAGGTTTGTTCTTAGCCCAGATGAGTGGATCTATAAACTCAACATAGAAGATTGTAGGGAAGTGTATTTTTGTTTTTGTTGTGGCCTTAAAAGGCTATAGTGCCAGCATTTCATTCAGGATTAGGTCTTCAGATTCCGTTTTCTTGGTTCATTTGGCAGAGATCTCTTCTCCAAATTTGAATAGGGTTTTGAGAGTTCTTCAGCTCCTCTCTTGTCAGCAGAGGGCACAGTGTGTTTCTCCTCTGTCTGTGCCCCTCAGACCAAGGTTGTTTCTGGAAGCCACGGCATGGCTCTGCAGCACAGTGAGTCACTTGATTATCTTTGCTCTGTGATTTGCAGTTGAGACTGATTTGCATTCTTTTCAACCAAGTATTTTCCTGATGGTTGAGTAAGGCATTTAACTCTCATTTATCTTCTTATAGCATGTTCTTAAAATCTACTTAAAATTATCCTTCACCACAGTCTCTGCTATTATAAAACTTTTGAAATAGGATTTTCAGAGGTACATAAAACAAATTAAAACAAAAATTAGATTTAGCTCTGAACTTGATTGCAGAGGTTACATTTAGCACTTCAAAGATTAGCCTCAGGAATTTTGGTGGTTAGGCTTTTGACATATTTATCTTTTCAGCTGTCATCATGACTCCAACTCGAGAACTGGCTTTACAAATTACTAAAGAATGTAAGAAGTTTTCGAAGACCTTGGGCCTTAGAGTGGTCTGTGTTTATGGAGGAACAGGAATCAGTGAGCAGGTAGGTATAAAAGGAACATTCAGTTTTTTTTGTTTTTTGGAATTGAATGATTTAATAATGTAAAAGTGATTCTTTGTTTTAGTGTTTTCTATGATGATTGCTTCTAAAATCTAAAAAGAAGTGTGATAATAAGAATGAATTATGTTAAAAGTTATATTTTAGAATTTTTGAGTAATTTTCATATCTTAGCTTTACCATGCTGCTTCACCTTTCCCTGCTCAAGGAAGCAGATAGTTTTTTCATTTAACAGATGTTCAGAAAGGTTAAGTTGACTGAAGTCTTCAACTTAAAAAGACTTTGTCCTAGAACTGAGGTGTTATGATTCCTGGACCAGCATTTATTCTTTAATCTAAGTTACATCCTTAAAAGGTGGTGTTGAGTGCGATATACTAATATCAGAGTTTCATTTGCATTCCTAAATGATTTTAGTGAGAATTATTTAAACATACCTTCATTCACTCTAATCTTTAACTTGGCATTTTTCTATGTGTCTTCTAAAGAATGATAGCCATCAGATATTTTGCTTTAACTAGAAGAAGGAAAAAAAGCTGGTCAGATTTAAGTTTTGGAAATGTTAAACTGCAAAATGAAATCTTTCTGCAAGACTGCATGATTGTTAAAAAGCTAGTGCATATTGTGATGCTGGCAAAAGGGATAAATGACATTTTCTGAGCATATTTAACCCGAAAACCCTTCTTAAGGACTTAATCTTCTTAGATTTTAGATACATTTTGGGAATATTTGCTTTTGTTATCCCAGTGCTATTTTTAAATGTTGCACTTAGTTTTCTGAGTTTATCTTTGTCATTTTTTTGGCCATGAATTATAGTTTGGCCATAAACTATAGTTAAGAAATACAATTACTAAGTAAGCTGGTACATGCCTGCATACTTATATAGAAGTCAAAGTTTTATGGTATCTTACATAGTGTTTTCCATTTTACTTTGTTTCAAAAACAGTTTGTGACTTAAACTGATTTCGTAATTCATTAATGGAAACAACTCTGAATTTGAAAACCATTGACCTATTACATTTCTTTTACTTATTGCTCTCTCGTCTTCCTTTCTTGGTTTTGAGAAATCGTGTCAAATTAAAATTGGTAAAAATCTCTGAAATCATTGATGTCAGAGTTATAGCACCATGTGGTCTTGTTGCTGCTACCTATTCCTTTAGTAGTTCTCCCACATTCCAAGGAATTAAGTAAGAGGCTTTGCTGTTTTCTAATCAGACCTGACTATCTTATTTTATGGAGCTCTTCAAGGACCTAGAGCAGTATTTTCAAGTCTGTGAAGAGACATTAGTGATAGAGTATAAAATTTCATCTTTTTTTTATTAGATTGCTGAGCTGAAAAGAGGTGCTGAAATTATTGTTTGTACACCTGGTCGAATGATTGACATGTTAGCAGCTAATAGTGGTAAGTTGGGGATGGGTTTTTGTTTTTGTTTTTATTTATCTATTTATTTTTTTGGTTCTCTTTTCTCCTTTTTGAATTGTGTACATTTCTGTTAAATCAAAGCATATATAAGAAACCACCAAAGGGTTTCTTTCTACATTTCTTCTTAAAGCTGTAATATCTTAAAATTTGTATTGTAGCAAGCTTAGTGTTGCAAGTGTTCATAATAATATTTTTGCAGTGTACTTAAAAATTTTTTTTGATAACCACTGCATCTGATGTATTGTTTTTTTAAAGTGCTTAACATGAATTCTTAATCTGATTTTGGCCTACCTTTGCTTTTGAAAGGGTAGGGGACTATGTTTTTTTAATTGTATGATTTAAATTTTTTCTCCTTAGGAGTTAGTGTTTTCTTACAATACTAGATAAATTAAGATATTGCAGCTTCAAGGACGTTTATCTTTTGTAAATATTGCATGTTTTTAGCTCAAATATTATGCTTTGTTAAATTATTCCCTATCAAAACTGTTACTAAACTGTTGACATTATTTAACTTCTGTGGAGAAAGGCCCTTCAAGATTTATAGAACTGGGCTTCCGAGACTTAAACCATCAAAGGTAGGTAATTTAATGCTGTTCCCAATCGTGCGAAACTAATTGGGGCTGCACATGTTAGTATGGAGTACTTAAATATTAGAAAGCATTTATTTTGGCACATTTCTGTTTTTTTTTTAAGAAAATGCTTTCAAAGGTTTCCATTGTATATTCAGTATATATATAATAGAGTATTTAAAACTTTGAGTAATGCATGTTTCTAATAGCATTTTGCTTGGATTTCTGTGTTCATTTAATTCTAATTCTACGTAAAGTTGGTAAAGTGATACTGATATTGACAAGATATTGTGCTTGTACAGCATATGAAATGTTTTGGGCTGAATGCTGATAAAATAATTCCTTGTTTTTTCTCAATGCTGCATTGATTAAGTATCCTGAAATTCATCTTGATTAATTTTACCTTTTCCCTTTATCTGTCCTTTTGGTTTATATTTAATAACTATTTTATACATGTTTTTGCCAGGTGATTGAATCAACATTTGATAGAAATGCTTATGTTAATCCTTTATAAAGGGTTTCCTATGTATGTGTTCAGTTTTCTCTGGCTAAGAAGCCAGTTGCATTTATTTAAACCAGTGTGAGCACTTAGTGAAACTGAATTTGTATTTGTAAAGTGTATCTTTGTAATATAATATATATGATTTCTTAAATTTTTGTGTAATATGTTAATTACCTAATGGTATTGCATAGCTTCTTATTATGTTTTGACATGCTCATTAGAAGCTCCTAACTATATGTAAGTAGGTTATGTACTACATAAAGTATAGTAAAGAGAGATTTTCTGCGTCTGAAGTAGTTAGCACTGGAACTTGCTTTCCACACATACGCTGTAATCTCTAATATGTTTTTTCCTAGGTGATGCTGTCAGATAATGGCTGATGTGGCTCGATGCTCCATCTCAGTCTTAGTTTTATGATGTGTTTTGGAGAGGGCTGTTTTCTGAATTTTACAGGTTCTTCAGGCCCTATGATGGTATGCAAGAGACGAGTTTGACAAAATAAAGGGCCTCATATACCCATTGTCAGAAAGTATATACCATTAGATTAAGATACTGTAAATGAAAATTTCTTTTCACTGTTTAAAGATACTTAACTTACCCCTCTGGTTAAGTCAGGCATTTTAGTTCCCTTTACAGTTTTTTAAAGTTTTTGGTAGTCATAAATGAATTGTGACTGATTTTTAGTTTTCTTTTTGTCTTTATTTTTTTTCCTTATGTTAGGTCGGGTTACAAATCTCCGAAGAGTGACGTATGTTGTTTTAGATGAAGCAGACAGAATGTTTGACATGGGTTTTGAACCACAGGTATTCATTAAATTTCTTTTTGTTTCTATCTATAAAATAAACCTTGTAATTGCAATGAGCCTGAAATATTTGTGTGATTTCTGAAATTCTCACATTTCTTTTGTGTGGTAATACAGGGAATTGAGGATGTGGGGAATTGAAATAAACATTTATATTTTGAATTCTTCATTAAACTCTTCAGGATGTATTTCTGCAGTCTTTCCTAGGCATCATTGGTAAAATTAGTCATAATAGAAGGTTAAGCTTTCATATATTATGATTTTCACTGTACTTCCAAACACATGGCTTTAGCTTATGCTTTTTACTACCTCATGATCTAGTTAGCACAGGTTGGTTATATCCTCCAAATGTAAAAACTAAGGCCCAAAGCATTTGTCTAGCTTAGATTTTATGTTCTTAACACATGCAGTTTCCTTAAATATAAAATTTCAGTGATGAAAACTTGAAACTCATTGTAAAAAGTGGTAGAATTTTTTAATAAGAAGAGCAGAATGAGTTGTCAGTGTGCTGTGGACAACAAAACAATTTTTTAAAAATATTTTAAAATTTTATTTAAAATTTAAATTGCTGCATGTGGGCTTTCTCTAGTTGGGGCAAGTGGAGGCAACTCTAGTTGCAGTGTGCAGGCTTCTCTGATAGCTCAGTTGGTAAAGAATCCACCTGATTCCACCTGAATGTGGGAGACCTGGGTTTGATCCCTGGGTTGGGAAGATACCCTGGAGAAGGGAAAGGCTACCCGCTCCAGTATTCTGGCCTAGAGAATTCATAGACTGTATTGGCTGTGGGGTTGCAAAGAGTCGGACACAACTGAGCGACTTTCACTTTCCCAGTACTTTAAAAATATGTTTACAAAGCTTGAAAAAATAAATTTGACAATATAAGACATATCTGAAGAAAATTGTGAAATTTACTGGACAACATTAAAGATGGATTGACTGAAATTTATGTAAAGATAAGTAGTAAAGAGTAATCCTCCTGAAAAAGATGAACAGGCTAGGGCGTAAGAGACGCCACTTCTTGAAAGTCTCGTTCCTTCCCATTTTAAGATTTAGTTTTCTTGAGTCTGCCAAGTCATGTACTACTTAAACAAAATGTTGTTGCTGTCACATCCTGTCTTCTTTCTTCTTCTTCTTTTTTTTTAAAAATACTATTTATTGATTATTTGGCTGCTCTGGGTCTTAGTTACAGCACATGGAATCTTTCAGTTGTGGCATGTTGGGTGTAGTTCCCTGACCAGGGTTCAAACCCAGGCTCTCAGCATTGGGAGCACAGAGTCTTAGCCACTGGACTACCAGGGAAGTCCCTGTCTTATTTTCTTTGTTGGTTTGAGCAATTTTTTAAAAATCTTGTTACATTTTACAGGATTTTTCAAGTGAAGAAAAGTAAATGTCTGTGGGCAACCACAGTCTTTAACTGAAAATGCTGGCATGTGTTTTAAAGTCATAGTTTTGGCTGTTGGGTGGAGAATAGACTTCAGATTGGACAGGAGCAAAGGCAGGGAGACCTGTTAGGAGACAATTGAGATAATCCAAATGAGAGTTGAGAGATCATTTGGACCAAGAGCCCAGGATTTCCATATACCATGGGTATAGCATCCTCTTTCATAGATAATTATATCATCTTTGGTTAGAATGAAAATGTGGTCCTGTGTATTCCTGGCAAGACCTTTACCCTTCCCAGTTTCCAACCACACACCACTGTCTGCCTTGAAACCATCATTAATAATTTTATTCATTTTGTGTTTCTTTTTTCTTGTTTAAGGCCATAAGAATCCTATAACTCCCTCTTTTCTCCAGGACTCTTAAACACTGACATAATTAATTGATCCCCCTAACAATATTTGCATCTTCATTATTCTTTTTTTATCCTGTAGCTCTTATTACTATTTGTTACATAATATTTATCCACCCTCATTAGACTAAGCTCCATAAAGACAAGTTTTTGTCTATTTTTATTGCTTATTCCAAGCACTTAAAACAATGTCTGGCACATAATGGTTACTCAATAAAAATGGGTTGAGTAAAGAAAGGAAAACAGTGGTAGCAGTGAGGAATACTTGAAGGAATACTTCAAACTAATGAAGGTCAAGACTACTGAATTTGTTGATGGATTGGGTATGAAATGAGCAAGAAAGAGAGTAGTTACAGATGGCTCCTAGATTTTGGGCATAAAGCTGTGTGACTAGAGTTGCCATTTCTTCAGAAGGGGAGACGGAGAGGAGCAAATTTTATGGTGAAATCAATGGTAATATTCTAAGATAACAAGTTTAAAGGTCACCAAATATATGTTCTCCAAAAGTTCCTTGTACTTGTTTTCACCGTCCTGTGATTTTTGGAGACTACTCTCACCATATTTGTTTGTAATGTTTTCTCAGGTCATGCGCATTGTGGATAATGTTCGCCCTGACAGACAGACAGTTATGTTTTCAGCTACTTTCCCCAGAGCTATGGAAGCCTTGGCTCGGAGAATCCTGAGTAAACCCATTGAAGTGCAGGTTGGAGGCAGAAGTGTAGTTTGCTCTGATGTGGAGCAACAAGTGGTGGGTACAACCCTTAGGAAACCCCCAGTTCCCTATGTGTTTAGGCAGTGTGTCATCCTTTTGGGATCACTGTGATGTAGGCAGGTACTTTCTAAAATTAATATACATCAACTGTAGCCATTAACATTTTACCAGGTACATTTAAATTTTCTATTCCATGGAACTGTTTAAAGTTTTTTTTTCACCAGAAGTTGTGGGCTGGTAGATAAAATGTCACATACCTGTGTTATTTGGTTAATAGGATGTGAAGGTAAGAGTCAGAACAGATAAATCATCTGTCCACACTTGTAAGCCTCTTAAGTCTTTGAAAGTTAATTTTTATTTTTTTGGTCTTAGTGATTTACCAATTAAAGTCAACATTTTCCTACTGTTTCCTAAAGATACAGCAAGATGTCATTTATTTTGAATATTTTTGTTCATGAAATGTATTTGGATTTTCATTCTGTTAATGTTATGCAATGTGTTGTTTTCAGATTGTGATTGAAGAAGAAAAGAAATTCTTGAAGCTACTTGAACTTCTAGGTCATTATCAAGAATCAGGATCTGTCATTATATTTGTGGATAAGCAGGAACATGCTGATGGTCTTCTGAAAGATTTAATGAGAGCTTCTTACCCTTGCATGTCTCTTCATGGAGGTAACATTTACTGAAATATCTGTAATGGACTTAGGTTGGCCAAGCACTGTACTGTGTATTTCCTTTGTCTTGAACTTAGCACTAATTTCTTTTTCTAAACTTTTTATTTTGTATTGGAGTATAGCTGATTAACAGACAGTGCTGTGATAGTTCATGTGAACGGTGAAGGGAATCTGCTATACATATACATGTATCTGTTCTCCCCCAAACTCCCCTCCCATCCAGGCTGCCACATAACATTGAGCAGAGTTCCATGTGCTATACAGGAAGTCCTTGGGGATAGTTAGGGAGTTTGGGATTGACATATACACAGGGCTGTATTTGAAGTGGATAACTGGCTAGCACTAAATTTTATATCAATGTCAGTTTTCATTTATGACAGTTCTGTGCAGGTAAGCATTATTATTATTATTCCATCTCAGGGATAAAGAAAATAAGCCAACAATACATTGGTTTGACCAAATTCCGTAACCAGTAATCAGCTGAGGAGAAATTGAACTTAAAAATTTTGATTCATGTTTCCATTGTACCATTTTACCATGCTACCTAGAGCCTTTTATGATTAACATTGGAGCTTTACTTAATTTCTGTGTAATATCGCCATTGTTATATATACGTGGGACTTAGAACACTAAACACATGGAACAGAGACCTTTGAGTTAAGCCCACTTACCAAGTGTTCTGGTAGTGTGACTTTGTGACATACCATCCCCAAATTGAGTGGCAATAGTCATTTATTTTGCTTATGAATCTGCAGTTTGTGTAGGACTTAGCACACATATCTAGTCTGTCTTCCATGCTCTGTCTCCTGGGATGGCTCAGTTGGGATTCCATTTCCAATTTGCCGTGTTTAGGCAGCTGACAAGTCGTACTGGCTTTTGACAGACAGCTCACTCCTATTGGCCAGGAGTCCTGACTTCCATTTTTGAACCTCTGTGTGAGTCTGCTTGCCAGACGGCAAGAATCAGAAGCTGCCAAGACAGTTAAGGAGGATACTGGGAAGTGGTAGAACTTTTATTTCCACCATGTTCTATAGGTGAAAATGGTCATTAGACTGGCCCACATTCAAGGAAATGGAGGCATAGACTCCATGTCTTCATGGGAAAATGTCATTCAGTATGCAGACAGTCATTCAGAGCATGTGGGGTAGGACTTGCTTTACAGTCTCCCACACTGTCAGGTGGAATGCGGTTAAAAGGATTGAGGATATGTATTTGGTTAACTTTTAATGTTTGAAAATGACTCATTTTGTTTTCCTTTTGTTTTTAATTGGTTAAATATACATTACATAAAATTTGCCATTTTAACCATTTTCAAGTGTATAATTCATTGGCCTTAAGTAGATTTACAATGTGGTGAAACCATTTCCATTATCTATTTCCAGAAAATTTTCATCATTTCAAGCAGAAACTCTGTATCTATTAAGCAATACTCAATTCCCCATGCCTCCCACCCTCCCAACTCCTAGTTACCTGTATTCTACTTTTTATATTTATAAATTTGCCTATTCTGTGTACTTCACTGAAGTGATATTTATCTTTTTGTGCTTGGTGTATTTCACTTAGCATACTATGAGTCTTCAAGATATACCCATGTTATAGCATAGATCAGAATTTTCTTTCTTTTTTAAGGGAAGAAATGTAATATTAAATATTCCTATATATATATGATATTTGCTTCATTTATTCATCTATTGATGGACACTTAGGTTGTTTCTACCTTTGACTTTGTGAATAATGCTGCTTTGAACAGTGATACACAAGTATCTGCTTGAATTCCTGTTTTCATTTATTTTGGGTATGTACCTGGGAGTGAAATGATGGGTCACATAAGTATATGTTTAACTCTGTGAAGAACCACCAAACTGTGTTTCATAGGAGCTGCACCATTTTGCATTCTCATTAACAGTACATTAGGGACTCAGTTTATCCACTGACTAGCACTTGTTACTTTCAGTTTTTTTGATAGTAGCTATCCTTGTAGATGTGAAGTGGTACGTCATTTGATTTGCATTCCCCTAATGACCAATGAGTTTAAGCATCTTTTTATGTGCTTCTTAGACATTTGTATATCTTTGGAGAAATGTCTGTTCAAGGCCTTTGCTTATTTTTCAATCAGCTTGTTTGGTTTTTTGTTGCTAAGTTGCAGGATTTCATTACATATTCTGGATAGCACTCCCTTGTCAGATATTTGCATGTCTTTTCTCCCATTTTGTTGTTGTCTCTTCACTCTCTGGATTGTGTTCTTTCATGCTTTAGTTTTGAACTGTATTGTATCAATTTTTTTCTTTTGTTTGTTGCCTGTTCTTTTGGCGTTATATCTAAGAAATCATTGCCAAATCCAGGGTTATGAAAAATTTCCCCTTTGTTTTCCTCTAAGGGGTTTAAAGTTTTAGTTCTTAAGTTTTGATCTTTGATTCCATTTGAGTTAATTTTTGTATATGGTGTAAGAAATGGGTTCATCTTCATTCTTTTGTATGTAGGTGTTTGGTTTCCCAGCACCATTTCTTTTTTTTTTTTTAATTTTTAAAAAAAAATTTTTTTTCCCAATTATTTTTATTAGTTGGAGGCTAATTACTTTACAGTATTGTAGTGGTTNTATTTTTATTAGTTGGAGGCTAATTACTTTACAGTATTGTAGTGGTTTTTGCCATACATTGACATGAATCAGCCATGGATTTACATGTGTTCCCCATCCTGAACCCCCTTCCATTCCCCTCCATCTTTATCACCAAATTTTTCAAACACCAAAAATCTGAAAAAACTGTATAGTGAGCACCCTGAAATAGCTAATACCTACAATTAACATTTTTTTATATTTATTTATCACATCTTTAGCCATCTTTCCTTTCTGTCAACCCCTCAATTTTTCTTAGTTTTTTGATATTTTAGAGTAAGTTGTATATCAGCATATTTCACTTCAGTATGCATGTTGATTAACACTAGTTCAAAAGTTTTTTTAACGAAAATAGTATTAAGTGAACTGTAGCAAAATGTACAGATCCTAAGTGTACCATTTGATGAGTTTTGACAAATGCATGTAAGTTGTGAAACCCAAACCTCTATTAAAATATAACCTCAGAAATTTTCCTCAGTCCCTGCCCTACTTTTTACATTTTTTCCCCCAACATATGTTAATTTTTCCTGTTTTAGAATTTCAAATAAATGGAGCCGTACATTATGGACTGTTTTGTGTCAGGCAGCTTTGACCTTCCATATGCATTTTTGAGATTCATCCATGTTGTTGGATGGGTCAACTCTTCCATTGTATTGCTGAGTAATACTTTAATATATAAATATGTCATAGTTTTTTTGTCATTTCTATTGGACATCCAGGCTATTTCTAGTTATTTAACCATCTGAAGGATGCATTATAATCAGGATTATAATCAGGATCACCCCCCAGAACTCTTTGTCATATCACTATACAGAGTAACTCTTAAGATTATCTCTCCTCTTCTTGTACACAGTCTCTGGAAAACACTGATGTTCTCTTAGAACAGTGTTTGTAAATGCAGTCATACATTATGTAGCTTTTTGCAGTTGGGCTTTTTTTTTTTTTGCTTAGCATGATGGCTTTGAGATCCATTCAAGTTGTTGCATTATTCATTTCTTTTTATTATCTAGTGTGTGGAGGTACCACTCTTTATGTATCTTTTCATCTGTTGAAGGACATTTGGGTTATTTCCAGTTTTACATAATTATGAATAGTGCTGCTATTAAATATGCAAATACAAATTTTTATGTGAACATTTCATTTTTCTGGGGTTGATAACCAGGAATGGCATTGCTGGGTCATATGGTAAGTTGACTTGGGTATTATTCATACTCATTGGGGTTCACCAAGCTTCTGGAATCTGTAAATTTATGTCTTCCATCTAATTTGGGAAATTCTTGACTGTTATTTCTTGATTTTTACTGCCCTATTTTCTCCTCTCTTTTTAGGACTCCAATAATGTGTATGTTCAGCTTTTAATACTGTCTCACATATCACTGATGCTCATTATTGATGTTCAGTCTTTGTTTTTAAGTCTTTTTTCTAAGATTAAAGAATTTCTTTGACTCTGTCTTCAAGTTTACTGTATGTTTTTGGCCATCTCTTATCTGCTGTTAATAAGTCCATTCAGTGAATTTTTAAATTGAATTTTATCGTTTTTTAGTTCTAGGATTTCCTTTTGGTTCTCCTTTATATTTTGATTCTCAAATTATATTTCCTAGCCATTCATTATAAGCATGTAAAACTTGTTTTTCCTCAATCACAATTATAATAGCTGCTTTAAAATCTGTGACTGTTAATTATAATGTCTTGGTCATTTAAAGTCAGTTTCTATTGTCTTTTAATTTTGTTTTAAATTTTTCTGTTTCTTTGTATGTCTAGTAATTTTGGTTTGCCTACTGGCCTTTGTGAATGATACCTTGTAGAGTCTAAATTCTCTTATGTTTTGCTTTAAAGTTTTTTATTTTTTTAAATAGGGCATTACCTTGGCTAGACCCATATTAAACTTTCTTGCAATGGGTGACCTCTGATATCTCTGTTAGCCAGAGCTGGGCTGGTTGATGTCTGCTTCATGTGTGTGTAGTTTAGGTGTCAGATAGGTGGGCAGTGTTTTTATGCACAGTTGGATGTGCCTACTCTGTTCTTCTTCCTGGGATTTATCCCCTCTTTTGTGGTCCTGAGTTTATCCTAACGTCTTTCTTCTGTTTCTTCTTGTCAGTAAGACCATGACTTCACTACCTGGGTTGCTCAGGGCATGCTCCCAAACAGAAAGTTTAAAATAAGTAAAATCCTATAAACTTAACCAATGCCATTGCATTCTTTCAGATGTCAACTCCCTTCCTGTTTCTCCTTGCTTTTAGTCACTCTCTGGTGCCTTCAGGTGGTTAGTTCTTTATATTTAGAACTCATAGTTGTTGTCCGCAGGATGGTTAATCTAATAAGGTTTCCCCCTATCTTGGTGGAAATGTGTATTTTTTATTTAAGTAAGAAAACTTTTTGCCTATAATCCGCTTCCTGTACTTCTGTCTCTTCGGCCAGAATTGCTTCACTTGCTTATGCCTAATTCATTCACAGGCATGTGAAGAAGTGAAGTGAAGTGAAGTCGTTCAGTCGTGTCTGACTCTTTGAGACCCCATGGACTGTAGCCTACCAGGCTCCTCTGTCCATGGGATTTTCCAGGCAAGAGTACTGGAGTGGGTTGCCATTTTCTTCTCCGGGAGATTTTCCCGGCCCAGGGATTGAAGCTGGGTCTCCTGCACTGTAGGCAGATGCTTTATCATCTGAGCCACCAGTGAAGTCATTCATGGGCATGGGAATGACAAATGGCTCTGAAAATATTGTTCTCACACCCCTGAGGTCTCTGAGATTTTCAGGGTCTTCATGAGGTCAGAAGTATTTCCATAATAGCCCACCAAGTTACTTGCCTTAAGAGTGCACAGCTACCTGAGCACAGGAAGTTTGAGAAGGGCTAGTTTACACTAAACAGTATTCAATTCCTGAGACTGAATTAGGCTCATCTTTGGTTTGGTATTAGCTCAGTTGGTGAAGAATCCGCCTGCAATGCAGGAGACCCCCCAGTTCAATTCCTGGGTTGGGAAGATCCACTGGAGAAAGGATAGGCTACCCACTCCAGGATTCCTGGGCTTCCCTTGTGGCTCAGCTGGTAAAGAATCCGCCTGCAGTGCGGGAGACCTGGGTTCAATCCCTGGGTTGTGAAGATCCCCTGGAGAAGGGAAAGTCTATCCATTCCAATATTCTGGTCTAAAGAATTCCATGAATTGTATAGTCCATGGGGTCGCAAAAAGTTGGACGACTGAGTGACTTTCACTTTCGTTTGACATATGTGATTGTTTGTTGGGTGGATAACAAAATTGGGAATATGTTAAAAAGGAAGATGGTTAATGGTTGCTGCCAGTAACTACTAACTCTGTTGCACAGAGGAGGTATCTTAATCTAAAGGGAAAGTTTTGGTATTTTTAAATTATAAACTTAATGTATGTTGTTATTCATTCCATTAATTTTTCTTGTGAGGTTTTAGAGATAGTATTGAACTGCTAGTTTTTTTGACATAAGATCCAAATACTTTTTATCATTCAGTCTTTGAAGAGTACATTAAAAATTTTCGGTAATATAAATTAATACTCATAAATACTTAGATGCTAAATGTTCGGTATATGTTAAATACAGGGTTTATACTAAATGTTCCAATATTTCTTGATGCAAAAATGAATTTCAAGGTTTGAGAATTTATTGCATTCCCTTCTCTGATTACTAGAGATTTCCAGGTATCCCATCATAAAGTATATTTGTGGCCTGGACTTTTTATTATAGAACATTTTGATATTTTATGTTCTGCTTTGTAACTCATCCTGAGTCTCTTTGAGTTAACAAATTTTAAGAGTGTTCCAGCCTGGTCCTTTTTAAGCAGTGCACTGTAAACGTTAACGTGCATATGTAATCACCTAACTATCTGGTTAAGATGCAGAACCTGATTAAATAGTTCGCAGTAGAATCTGAGATTCTGCATTTCTAACAAGTTCTCATGTGATGCTGCTCCTTGTCTTTGAACAAAACTGTGAGTAGCAAGGCTCTGAATAATCTGTGGGAGAAGTAAAAAGATCTGAATCCTGTCATTATAGGCTGGATGTACCTGCCTTTTTTTTCCCCTTTGCCCTGATAACAGTTGTAGGTTAGGGATTCTGATTGGGCTTCTGCAGTTGTTAGCTTTATGTACAAGAAAGGAAAGAAAAGAAGGGCCATTGAACTTTCTTAGTCTTTTAAAAATTTTTATTGAAATATAGTTGTTTTACAATGTTGTGTTTCAAGTGTACAGCAAAATGATTCAGTTATATATTATACCTATTCCTTTTTAGATTCTTTTCCATTATATGTTATTATGGGATATTGAGTATAGTTCCCTGTGCTGTACTGTAGATCCTTGTTGGTTATCTATTTTACATATAGTAATGTGTATATTTTAATCCCAAACTATCCCTACTCCCCCAAATCTCTTAGCCCCCTGCAAATTTTTATTTTCTATATGGTGGTTGTTGACACATGGTCAGTATAGGTTGGATATGTTCTTTACCCTGTGTTTAGCTTCTTTCTCTGAATGTCAGAGAAAATGGAAAATTTAATTTGAATATGTGGTTTTACAACTCTAATTCATTTTCAGGCATTGATCAATATGACAGAGATAGCATCATAAATGATTTTAAGAATGGGACCTGCAAACTTCTTGTGGCTACGTCTGTTGCTGCCCGAGGCCTCGATGTGAAGCATCTGATTCTTGTTGTAAACTATAGCTGCCCCAACCATTATGAGGATTATGTGCACAGAGCAGGACGGACTGGAAGAGCAGGCAACAAAGTAAAGAGAATTGCTTTTAAAGTTGATTCCCATTATGTTAAAATATAAGTGTTTCTTTAGGACTTTAAAGTGTAGATAATAGGAGTTATGGGGAATCATCAGAGTATAGGGATTAGTTGATGTCATTTATATATATAAACATGTCTTTTTTTTTTTTTTTTAGAGTTCTAGGACTTTTAATTTGTCCCAAAATTGCTGAAGCAAAAATGATAAAACATTCTGCTTTCCTTTACACCCCCCAACGCAGAAAAAAAAAAAAACAACAACAAAAAACAAACAACAAGTCTTAAGTGCTGTTAAAATTGTCAGATACCTACCTGTTCTCTATAGGCAGAGAGTGTTATCCACTTGTGTCCCCAGAAAGGTATTTTTTCCCACCTAAAAATTTCTGTATGTACATTACATGTATATAGTTCAAGAGCTTTCATTCCTTTTTTTAGAATATGGGATCATAAACTATACTCAGCCCAGACCTATCACCCCTGTCCTTAGCCCCATACAAATGTATATTATTTGCTTTTTTGACACCTGTATTCTGTTGAGTTTTAACTCATTGTTTTTGAAAGCAGCAGAATATTCCTTTGTTGGAAGCACTGATGGTGATATATTTGGTATGATAACCATGGACATTTCTACATATGAAAGCAATAATATTATTAATAGGTTATATTTATGGAGTATTTATTAAGTGCCCAGCACTGTTTTAAGTGCTCTATATATATCTTGTTTTATTCTCACAAATTCCCTTTAAGGTCAATAATATTACTGCTTTAAACAGATGAAAAAAGTTGAGGCACACTGACATTGAGTTATTTGCCAAATTTACACAGCTCATAAGTAGTGATGGCATTCTTTTAACCTGAGTTATTCTGTGGATTTGGGAGATTTTTTTGTGTAGTTAAAATTGTAACCTTTGTGGGTCACACACAGTCTCTGTCACATCCTATGTGCATTTGTGTATACAACCCTAAAAAATGTAATTCCACTTTAGCTCATGGGCTGTATAAAAGTAGGCCAGGGGTCAAATCTGGTGACTAGGTGAAGTGAAGTGAAGTGAAGTGAAAGTTGCTTGATCGTGTCTGACTCTTTGCGACCCCATGGACTATACAGTCCATGGAATTCTCCAGGCTGGAATACTGGAGTGGGTAGCCTTTCCCTTGGGGTTGATCCCTGGGTTGGGAAGATCTTCTGGAGAAGAGTAACTTTTAGGTACTCCTGAAATAAAATATTAAGGCTAGTTTTAAAATTTATAAGAGTTCACTGGTAGGATAGAGCATTTAATGAAGATGGCAGTCTAATTGTAATTTGCTTTTCCTCTGCTTACAACTCCAGTCTTTTCTCTTACCTGAACCAAAAAGCTGTTGGGGACACGTGAATACTTAGGCATTAGAGAATTGCAGGGAAGTGATGTAGTTGACTTTATTTTTTATTTGAAAACATATCAGATATATGTGTGTATATTTGTATATCTTTTAACTGGTCTTTAAAGAGTATGGGATGCTATATTCTAGGAAGTTAACAGGTTAGCTGGGGTAGAGGGGTACAGTAGGTAGTAGAAGAAAGGAATGCAAGCAGACAGGGAAAAATAGGATGTGTTAAAATTAATACTTACAATGCAGTTGTACATTTATGTAAAAATCATCAACTTATGTGATTTCTCTTTATGTATAAAGGAGTTAGAAATTTTCTAATATTTTTACAATAAATATTAAACTTAGATATTAAGGAATTTAGTAAGTCTCTATTGTGATCTTTAAAATTCTTTTTAGTGGAGTAGTGGAGTTGTCTTAAAGAGGGTATATTAGGTGACTCAGATTTCATCTTACTTGTTTTCTAAGGAGGATTCATCTTGTTAGTGTTTAATTAATTTAAACTTTTTCATTGTTTACTAGGGCTACGCATACACTTTTATCACAGAAGATCAAGCTCGGTATGCTGGAGACATAATTAAAGCCCTTGAACTGTCAGGGACTGCAGTGCCACCTGATCTAGAGAAACTCTGGAGCGATTTCAAAGATCAACAGAAAGCTGTGAGTTTTTTTTTTTTTAATAACTTTTCTTATTTTTATACAATTCACTGTATTCTAAACCTTGAGTATTAATACCAGTAAATCTTGATAGTATTATTTTCATTTATCTCTTTAGATAGAAAGGGAAAGGACTGAGAACAAAAATCCTCTCTTCAACTCAGTATTTTTGTAGTGTACATACAGAGCTCTTTATTTTTTTCTCACATACTAAATAAAATGTTTTTGTTGCATTGTCATACCCCACCTTGAAAACTATTTAATTGCCATAAATTTCTGAACATTAAAGTTTTTCACTATGAATTTAACTTTCTTGTTTTTCCTTGAAAGGAAGGGAAAATAATTAAAAAGAGTAGTGGGTTCTCTGGTAAGGGATTCAAGTTCGATGAGACAGAACAAGCTTTGGCTAATGAGAGAAAGAAGTTACAAAAAGCTGCTCTTGGTCTGCAAGATTCAGATGATGAGGATGCTGCGGTTGATGTAAGTATTGTCCTAAAGCCTTATTCTTACCAGTTGAAGCAGTTGTTCGTCTTGTACTGGAAGTCTTACCCTAGGCTTGTTTAGGCAGCAAATTACTGGAAACTTTTTGGTGGGTGCGCTTCTCAGTTTTTTTGTGTGTGTGTGTACAAATGTATTCACATATGCCCGTAGTTTTGTATTTGCATAAAAATGAGGTCATACTGCTTTATAATTTTCTTTACAATAATAGTCCTATGTTAAAATCTTCCCTTAAAGGAAATCCACTCTCATACTATTTTTTGGCTACGTTTCATTATATGGATGTTCTACAGTATGATCAATCAAATCCCTATTTTTGAATATTTGGAAACAAATACTACTTAGAATATATATTTGTTATTATTTGGAGTATACTTTACTGTACTTCATTGCACATCCTTGAACACTTAACCTTGCACATTCATCAGATTAAGTCTTGAGGAAGAGTGTGTAAGTGTATAAATGGAATTGCTCAGTCAAAGGGTATATCCAAATTTGGCCTTAAAACATTGTTAGATTGTTCTCCTGCAGGGTGAGTACCAGCTTGTATTCATACTAACGGTGTATAAGGGTGCCTGGCTCCCTGTATTTTTAACATCATTGGTACTAATATTGTTTTAAATACTTCACAATTTGATTATTATAGAACATCCTTATTAATAATTGTTGTTGTTACTTAGTTGCTAAGTTGTGTCCCACTCTTTTGTGACCCCATGGACTATAGCACACCAGGCTTGTCTGTCCATGGGATTTCCCAGACAAGAATACTGAAGTGGGTTGCCGTTTTCGTCACCAGGGGATCTTCCCGTCCCAGGGTTTGATAGTGAACATTTATGGCATGGTGCTAAGTTCCACGTCCTGTGCCAAGTGCTTTACAGGGATTATTTCATTGACTTCCTCACAATAGCCAGAGAAGTGGATACTCAAAGCATTCCCTTTTTATAATTGAGGAGACTGAGGCTTAGAAACAAATAATAACTTTTTCAGGTTTGTGTAGCTATTTAAAGCCCATTTTCTTAGCTTATAGTGTTGTTTGTAACACGGTGAAGAGAGACCCTAAGGACTCAGCAAGTTAAGGGTTTCTTGGAGTATGCTGTGGAACCCTAATCCCAGAGCTTGAGCTTTAGATGTTTTCATTATAAAATACTTTTGGAAAATCTGGTATATTCCACGATTAATGGTATCCTGTCAATGGGTATGAAAAGACATTAATAAAATTATTTTAATTCTGAAATCTTCCAACATATTTTTTATTTGATCATAGAATTTTTTTTTTTTAATATACTGCATTAAACCTTGGCTCAGAGCACAACTTAAGAATTCAGGAATTTAGTCTTTCAGGAAATGACCACACTGGCTGTTAAACACAGGAACCAATGTCTCCTATTAATTCTAGGCCTTTTTTTTTTACTAGTATACCATATTGGCTTAAAATTCAGTTAAGTCAATGTATTTAGGTTATCTGTTATGGTATAATAGATCAGTCCAAAACTTAGGACTTTATTGTGGGACACAATAAACATTTATTACCTACTACTCCTGAGGGTTAGGAAATCGGGAACAGTGTAGCTAGGTAACTTACTTAAGGTCTTACTTAGGGTCTCATGAGGTTGCAGTCAAGCTGTTGTTCCAGGTTGCAGTTATCAGAAGGCTTCACTGATGCAGGCCCATCTTCTTCCAAGATGGCTCACTGATTTCACTGTGGGATGCCTCCGTTCTTTCCTCTGTATTTGTGTTCTTACAACATGGCAGCTGGCTTCCCAGATTGAGTGATCCAAGAGAGAGCAAAGAAGAAGGCTTAGTACCTTTTATGACTAGTCTCTGAAGTTATATGCTGGCTTTTCCACTTAAATTTTGTCTATTAGAAGCAAGTCACTAAATCTAGCCTACATTTAAGGAGAGGCTCCACCTCATGAAGGGAAGAGTATCGAAGAATTTCTGGCTTTGTTTTTAAAACCACTTCAATTTTTTTGTTATTTAAACATTTTTAAAAAATCTCATAATAAAACATTAATTTTTCCCCCTTTTGTTAAAATCTTATTATAATTTCATTAAAAAATTAGAGCAGTAGTAAAATGCTTTGTGTTTAATCACTCAGTCATGTCCCACCCTTTGAGGCCCTGTGGACTGTAGCCTGCCAGGCTCCTCTGTCCATGGGGATTCTCCATCCAGGCAAGAATACTGGAGCAGAATGCCATGACCTCCTCCAGGGGATCGTCCCAACCCAGGGATTGAACCCAGGTCTCCCACATTGCAGGTGATTCTTTACCATCTGAGCCACCAGGGAAGCCCAAATCATCTTCTACCTGAATAAGGATTTGAACCCTGGAGCCTTGAACCGTCAGGTTAAAAGTGATGCTCTACCAATTGAACTATCTGGGCTCTCAATAAATTAGAATAAAATTAAAAATTAAATTAATTAAAAAATACTAGAGCAATACTAAAATGAATAAAGTCAAAAGTAAAGTTATCCCTGTTACCTAACACTGTGTGCATTCCCCATTCCTAATTTTATGCATTTGTTTTGGATTTTAATGTCATATGTTCTGTTTAAAAGAGTGTTACTAAATTAAAGGTTAGTTTAAAAGTAATTCATAGCTCAAACACCTTATTAGATAACAAATGCTTTAAAAAGAAGGTAAGTTGTCTGTTTCCATTTCAGTAAAAGTTCTTTCTAAATTAACCAAGTTAATTTTAAAACGCTGAAAAAGTTTTTCTTTGCATTTGAGATTTGAAATACTAGCCTAATTCCTGCATATGAAGGGATTTGCCTTCTTTACATGGTAGTGTTAGTATTCATTTTGGGGCAGAAGACATTTTTAAAAGGAAATGCTTATGAGATACAAGTGGCTAACCTGAGGATTACACGGTGGCAGTAGGACTCGTGTGACGCCTGGAGAGCAAGGATTGTCAGTATTGCTCTTGATTTCATGGGGAAACGCACCTTCATGCCTTTCCTTCCTGGGTTCAAAGAAATAAAACAATAAAGGTTTTTCCCCCTGATTCTCTTACCCTGTTTTTTGGGTAAACCCAGTTGCATTTTTGGAGTTGGAAAGAATTTTAGGAGGTAACCATTGGCTGTATTTTTAGTTGTCCACTGGTCTTGAGTTATTGCCCTTCTTCCAGCCTCTTTGATTACAGTGTATATAATTTGGCCTCAAGGCCTGGGCTGCAGAGCAACTTGGCTGCATCCAATTGGCTACTCTGTTTTGACAGCCCCTGTTCTTCGTTTTCTGAATTGGGATGTATTTTCTGTAATACTCAGGAGTCTGCTGAAGTGGTTCTTGCAGCACTGTATCTCTGTTTCTTTCTTTCCTTCCTCCCTCCCCTTGCCCCTTGTCCTCCCCTCACCTCTCCCTTTCTTCTTACCCCTCCCCTCCCTCTCACCCTCTCTAAATTGGTATTTTTAATTAGATTTTTACTAATGCTTTTTTTTCTTGTTTAGATTGATGAGCAAATTGAAAGCATGTTTAATTCAAAGAAGAGAGTGAAGGATATGGCAGCTCCTGGAACATCTAGTGTGCCTGCTCCCACTGCAGGGAATGCTGAGAAACTGGAAATTGCAAAGAGATTGGCTCTTAGAATCAATGCTCAGAAGAATTTGGGCATTGAGTCTCAGGTATTAAGTAATTTGTTCCGAGTCTTAATACTTTTTGTAAGTTATTTGATTTAAATGCTTTTTAAATTGTATCAGCACAAGTGAACAAGAAGTTGTTTTAGATTTTGAGGTAATAAGCATTTAACGTTTGAATACAGAATTCTTTAATTGTTGACCTTGGTTGATTTCTCTAGCGTGATTAGCTGAGGTCTTAGTGCCTATTCTGGAAGGCATGTTAACCATAGATAATTTTATAGAATAGTTTTCCGAGTGACCTTACCAAAATCCTTAAGAAAGAACTCTCTTTTTCTTTCTTTGTGTTTACTGGTGGATTATTGACGAAACAAACAATACTGTGGAAGTACAGACACCCAATTATATAATTCAAACTAACATGAGTTTAGACAATGGGAAACTGTTAAATATTTTACTTGCCATCTTTCTCTTGGGAGTTTTTTGGTTAACTTAATGCTTTTTGTAGTTGATTTACAATGTTGTGTTAGTTTCTGTTGTACAATCAAGTGATTCAGTTACACACACATATATATATATGTATCTTTTCTCTTTTTTTAAAACTTTTTGTTTTCTATTGAGATATAGCCAGTTAACAAACAATGTTATGATAGTTTCAGGTGAACAGCAAGGGGATTCAGCCGTGTATATATACATGTATCCATTCTCCCCCAAGCTTCCCTTCTCTCCAGGCTGCCACATAACATTGAACTGAATTCCATGTGATTTACAGTATGTCCTTGTTGGTTATCCATTTTAAATATAGCAATGTGTACATGTCAATCCCAAACTCCCTAACTGTCCCTCCTCCCCTTCCCCCCTGCAACTATAAGTTCATTCTCAGAAGTCTGTGAGTCTGTTTCTGTTGTATAAGTTCCTTCATTTGTATCTTTTCTTTTTAGATTCCACATTAAGGGATATAATATGGTATTTCTCCTCTGACTGACTTCACTCAGCATGACACACTAGGTCCATCCATGTTGCTGCAGATTGCATTATTTCATTCTTTTTAATGGTTGAGTAATATTCCATTGTACATATTTACCACATCTTCTTTATCCATTCCTCTCTTGATGGACAGTTAGGTTGCTTCCATGTCTTGGATATTGTAAAATGCGCTGCAGAGAACATTAGGGTGCATGTATCTTTTCTGATCATGTTTTTCTATGGAAATATGCCCAGGAGTGGGATTGCAGGGTTATGGTAGCTAGGTTTTTAGTTTTTTAAGGAACCTCCATACTGTTCTTCATAGTGGCTGCACCAGTTTACAATCGCACCATCAATGTAGGAGGGTTCCCTTCTCCCACATTTTGTTTAACTCTTTCCTGCATTTTATTTAACTTAATTTTTAATCAGGGTTAAATTTTCATAGCATTCCCAAAGAACAGTTTGTTAATGTTGACAGTGTTTAAGATTTTGAGTGGTTGAGGACCTGCATGACCCTGTGTCCAATAGTTGTATGCAGGTTCAGGTCTGCAGTGCCCAAGTGGAATGACCAAGCTAGAGGCCAGTGGACTGACCTGATGAGGCAGCCATAGTCAAGAATCAGAGCCTTGGGTCTTTGAATCTTTTTTAATCAGTGAGTTACTATGAAGTGTTTACTCAAGCCTGTGCCTCTTGTGAAAACAGGGATGCAGCACTTCACCTACTATTCTCTTGTGGTGTTGTTACTAGTAACTTTTGTGAAATCATATGGCTATAACTTTTCACTGTTTTTGGAAGAGCTTGAGGTGTGAGTCATGTATTACCCACAGAATTACCTCTGTATTAGATACATAGTAAAATTAATTTCAAATGTTAAAATATGTTGCGTAAAGATATTTACAATAATTTATGGAATGTTGGCTTTGTCCATGAGGGGAAGAGGAGTTCAGTGGTAGTAGTGGGCAAACATACTGATTCAGAGGAAACCCATAGTAGCCACAAGGTATGTAAATGATTTTAGAAATATTATACTGTATTTGATATCAAGAGTTACCTAATGTTCAGTAGTGTTTTTTAATATAGACTTGGGTATTTAGTTTTCACATCAAGTAAGGCAGATATATTAAACTTTCTATTATAAATATATGCTGTTAAATTGCCCTGTGGGTCAGACTCTACATGCTTTTAGTTAGTGCTTTCCAGAGAAGAGTTTGTGGTGGGATCTTTGGTCTTGTCTCTACCCTCATTTGAGATTTGACTGTAGGTCTTCTTTCACTGCAGGATGTAATGCAGCAGGCCACCAATGCCATTCTCAGAGGTGGCACCATCCTGGCTCCCACTGTGTCTGCAAAAACCATTGCAGAGCAACTTGCTGAAAAGATAAATGCCAAGCTCAACTATGTGCCTTTGGAGAAACAAGAAGAGGAGAGACAGGACGGTGGGCAGAATGAGTCTTTTAAGAGATATGAGGAAGAATTAGAGATCAATGACTTCCCACAGGCAAGTAGCAGATTTAAACTTTTTTATTGAGTAGAAACCCTGTTTCTAGGAGTGAAAATACCTCATTTAAAACCTATGAAGGGTCTTCCCTGATGGTCCAGTGGTTAGGAATCTGCCTTCCAATGCAGTGGATGGGGGTTCCATCCCTGGTCAGGGAACTAAAATTCCACATTCTCCAGGGCACCTAAGCCCTCAAGCTGCAGCTAAGACCTGACACAGCCAAGTAAATAGATAAATAAAAAGAAAAAACCATGAACATTTTAATGGCTGCTTTACTTTTTATTTAGATGCAGAGACAACACTGGAAATTTCATTTTTATGATTACTTTCTAGGTACATTAGAATCTAAATGAATTTATGATGAAGATGTTGATTAGAATTTTAATATTGACAATAACATGATTTAGCTAACCTATTCTTTTAGGACCTCAGGTTTTTTTAATCCTGTTGTAAAGAGATTTCTTCTCCCCCCAACTCTTTTCTTTCCTAGACCGCTAGGTGGAAAGTTACCTCTAAGGAAGCTCTGCAGAGAATCAGTGAATATTCTGAAGCTGCAATTACAATCAGAGGAACGTACTTCCCACCTGGCAAAGAGCCCAAGGAAGGAGAGCGGAAAATTTACTTGGCAATTGAAAGTATGTACTGTTGGTTCAGTTTCCATCTTGAGTTTGATCAAAGTTGATAATAGATGTAATAGACCCAGGGAAACTATGAGGTCAGTTCTAGAGAGGACCGAGAATGAGGAACACCTGTTAAAAAGTTTCACCGATTATTTGTGGTCTTTATTCAGAAGTTTAGTATATATAGAGGTGAGTGATCTTTGTTGGGGACTCTTTCATTTTTGACAATTTGGTCAAATTGAAAATGACTAAAAGAACACATGTATTTTTGGGACTAGTCCAGTAAGTCCTTATGCTTCCAGTAAGTAGAACATTCTGGCCAAAGTTAAGGTTAGAAAGTAAATCAACTATATTAATTCCCTTAATGCTTGTTTACCCAAGCAGATATTGCCTCTGATTTTATGCCTGTAAATTCATACATGCCATTTTTAGAAAAATAGAACAATTAATACCACAGCTTAAAGGCTGTAAGTAATGAGTTATCTAAGAGTGATCAGGTGTGGTTTTTAACCTTACCTCATACATTCATAAATGAATTCAAAAGACAGTTTCTATTTTTATTTTTTTCCTAATGTATTATATATAACATAGTAGGACAACTTATCTCCTTTCTTTTATATTTACTTTTAACATCTTTATAATAGATTTTTAAGAATAGGCCAGCCACAGCTCCATTTCATTTATTTCATGAACTGAATGTTTATTGAATACTGGTACTGGAGCTGTGAGGTAGTTTATTCCATGTGCCGTGTAACTCTAGAGTCTGCATACCTCCTGCTTAGATGGTTACAGTGATGCCACTCCCATGCCCTGTACAATCTCAAACACCGGCCTAGTCCATTGAATCATACACATCCCTGCCAGCAGGGAAATGATCTCGGTCTCACTTCACCACTCTGTAGCTCTTTACTTGCTTTGTTTCTCTTCACGGTACTCATTACATAGATGTTACAGTATATTTATACTTGTTTCTCTCTGCCCTACTCAAGCTCTGTGAGTGCAGTGACTTATCATTTGCTGTATTCCCAGTGTTCTACACATGGTAGGCACTTGATAAATTTTCTGAAAATGCATCTGATTAAGCTCTAGAGCTACTTCTTTTCTGCACAGATAATATTATTTGACAGGCATAGGCATATAATCTCTCTAAATCTGCACTGTCCAGTGAAAACTCTGCTGGCTCTGGAATACTCGAAGTATGGCCAAATGTGACCAAGAAATGTTAAATTTAGTTTTTATTAACTTACATCTAGAAAGCTACATGGCTGATAGCTACTGTATTGGCTAGCTCAGCTCTAAAGTTTGTGTTGAAAGATCAGTGGAAATATAAACTGAAAATATATTGTAATAAGTTAGTGTTTTCTTGTTATATTTTGACATTCCTTTGATTTTTGTGAAGACTATAACTTTTAGGTAAGTTTCTTACTGAAATAAACATAAGTTAAAACTGATTTAAATATATATAGGACTGATTTTTAGGGTTTCTTTTCCTAACCAAAACAAAGATAATTTTCATATGTGAAAGTAAATTAGTATTGTGCCTGTTTACTTTTTTTTTTTGGTTATCTAAATTGTTTTTGTGTGACTTGTTAACATGACGACTACAAGAAGAGAAATGCATGTGCAGTGTGCATCCCATCTACTCTAAGTAGAAGTTATTTCCTGGTCAAAAATGCTTGATAGGATCAGAGTAAGTTATAAAACAGAAAAGTTTTGTTACCAGGATTGAGTTGGGATTTTGTTTTTTTCTCCTTTAATAAGGGTTTGCCTGGTTGATGTAAACTTTTGATTAGTTTCTGAGTTCTGATAAAGTTGATTTTATCACTTTGTGCAAATATATTCAATGTTTTGTGGAGGTTAAGCTTTTGAAGTTCCCTCCTATGCCATTTTCACTGATACCACTCTCACTTTTGTATCTTTTAAAATTAATAATGATGAATTGCAGTAAAGGAATAAAACTCAGATACAGCCTTTATGTTTTCCATGCTATTGATACTCTACCATTACTGTACAGGAAGATCCATACATATTTCAACTGATGTACAAAGAAAGTGGGTCCAGAACTAGACAGATTGCATTTTTTGGTTTGTGATTGTGACTTTGAGAAACTGGATCATCAGTTAAGTTCGGTTCAGTCACTCAGTTGTGTCTAACTCTTTGCGATCCCGCAAACCGCAGCACACCAGGCCTCCCTGTCCATCACCAACTCCCGGAGTTCACCCAAACCCATGTCCATCGAGTCGATGATGCCATCCAGCCATCTCATCCTCTCTAGTCCCCTTCTCCTGCTGCCCTCAATCTTTCCCACCATCAGGGTGTTTTCAAATGAGTCAGTTCTTCGCATCAGGTGGCCAAAGTATTGGAGCTTCAGCTTCAACATCAGTTCTTCCAATGAACACCCAGGACTGATCTCCTTTAGGATGGACTGGTTGGATCTCCTTGCAGTCCAAGGGACTCTCAAAAGTCCACAGCTCAAAAGCATCAATTCTTCGGTGCTCAGCTTTCTTTATAGTCCAACTCTCACATCCATACATGAGCACTGGAAAAACCATAGCCTTGACTATATGGACCTCTGTTGGCAAAGAAATGTCTCTGCTTTTTAATATGCTGTCTAGGTTGGTCATAACTTTCTTTCCAAGGAGTAAGCGTCTTTTAATTCCATGGCTGCAGTCACCATCTGCAGTGATTTTGGAGCCCAGAAAAATAAAGTCAGCCACTGTTTCCACTGTTTCCCCATCTATTTGCCATGAAGTGATGGGACCAGATGCCATGATCTTAGTTTTCTGAATGTTGAGCTTTAAGCCAACTTTTTCACTCTCCTCTTCCATGTTCATCAAAGGCTCTTTAGTTCTTCTTCACTTTCTGCCATAAGGGTGGTGTCATCTGCATATTTGAGGTTATTGATATTTCTCCTGGCAGTCTTGCTTCCAGCTTGTGCTTCTTCCAGCCCAGCGTTTCTCATGATGTACTCTGCATATAAGTTAAATAAGAAGGGTGACAATATACAGCCTTGACATACTCCTTTTCCTATTTGGAACCAGTCTGTTGTTCCATGTCCAGTTCTAACTGTTGCTTCCTGACCTGTGCATTAATATTTCAGGTCAGGTTTTTAAACAGTACCCTTTTATATATCCTGAAAGACTTTTGCCCTGCCAGTGACTCAGTGTGTTTTTGAATCAGGTGACGCTGTTCCTTTTATTGCAAGGTTAAATGGGGATTGCTGGCATCTTGATGTTAAAGGAGAAGAAATTACATTGACATCTTTCTGTGCTTGGAACTAGACAGCTCTCTCTTACTATTGTATTAGGCCATACAAGATGTCGTTCAGTGGAATCTGATGATAAAACCTTGGTAAATATGGAGTCATCCTTGTTTATTCAGCTTGAATATGATAGATGTCATTTAAGCAAAACCAGTATTTAATTTTTTTGTAATAACATACAATATTTTAAGTATTTCTAAGATTTCAAAATCAGTATTTTAAGTGACATTGTTTTAAAGAGGTAAATCAGAGATTATTTTTTGCTTTGAAAAAGATTCCTCTGTAATTTATTAAAGGTAATTATGCTTATTTAATGTAGTATAATTAATGTATGCCAGGTTTAATTTGTATTAACTTTATAAGAACACATCTACTGTACTACCAAATGAAGTGAAATGAGAAGCCACAGCTTCTGCCAGCTTTTCTATCTATCTACAATGGTTCTGGGTGCTTTCCACTGTGAACTTGTACTTAGGAAGTAACATCTAATTTTTATAATCTAAACAGGTCTTTCCCTCCCAGTAACAAGATAACCTTGTTAAGAGTGAATCTTGAAAATTCTAGAGACATAAAGATGCTAAATAAGGGCTGGAGATTGGTAATTAAAATGATCTAAAGCTTTGAGAATTTTCATAGATGATTAGATTTAAATGATCTAGTTTTTGAAACACCAGCCGAATCGACTGAACACTAATGGGATGAAAACAGGTGTTGTAAGGAGCCTAGTGTCATCTGTTTCTGGTTCTGTGATTGGAGGGGCCCCACCGCCTGGCTCCTTAGAGGCTCCATGTGGCCCAGCAGCTCCAGGCCTCCCACCAGGCAGTGGGAAGGAGAACAGGAAGGACGGACGTGCCTAGCTAGCCTGTATAATTTATAGCCTGTTTTGTGACCCTCTCTTTTTACTGGTGGAGAATCCCTTAAAAGCAGCCAGAGTTGTTTTGGGACCAATGAAAGGAAATGCCTCTTTTTCATGACAGCTTATAAACATATGTAACCCATTACCTAAAGAAGCTGTATAAGTCAATAATTTAAACCGGTGCAAATGGTCAGGTTCTAACTAACGCAGGAAAATTGCTCTTCTGCTTTGAGCTGGATGAGAGTATCATTTTCCTTATTTTTAAAATAGCACAGAGTGTCAAGCTGCACACCAACTCATGCCAAGTAGCATATTTTCCTTCTGAATTTTGGGTTTTTAAATACTTTTCATTCTGGCTCAGCTCTTAATTCTACCCTTGGCTTCACATGCATCCACCTCTCTTCCCTTCCAGCACCCACAGCTTTAAAATGTTGTGGTCATTGGCTTGTGGAGGTGGGGGTCTTAGATTAGATTAGATATGTTGCTGTGACTTCATAGCCATAAGCATGTCTCTTTTCTTCCTGTTGTTAAACTGTTTCTTCTTTCTCCTCCTCCTCCTCTTCCTCCTCTCCCCACAGCTCCTCCCTTCCTCCTTCTCTGTCCTCTGTGGGTTTGAAAAAGTTATATCTAATAAGGGGAAGAATTTTATCATTTCTTGTGAATTGTTTTCCATATTTGATTTTTCTTATAAAAATAAAAAAAACATAGTTCTCTACATTACTAACCCCGGTTCTTTTATTCTTTTGACATTCTCTCACTCCTAGTACTTAACCTCTGGTCTCCTTTGGTCCAGCGCTTTTCCTTTTATAGGTGTGCACCAAGTTCCCTCTCTAGACTTGCCTGCCTCCTGGCATTGTCCCCTGACTTCAAATCCTTCCACGCCTATCCTTGATGGAGCTCTAATCTCCATCTCCTCTACTTCTGCTCCTTGTTTCCATTGGTCTTACTAACGTTTCCAACTTGGTGTGTCCCATGAGAACCTCCGCTACAATGATGTCAGTTAACCACCATCACTGCTTATAATAACACCTGCTCTTCCTCTTGGATTCGGTATCTCCTTTATTTTATTTTATTTTTCAATTTTCTTTTCTTTTTTTTCCATTTATTTTTATTAGTTGGAGGCTAATTACTTTACATCATTGCAGTGGTTTTTGTCATACATTGAAATGAATTAGCCATGGATTTACATGTATTCCCCATCCCGGTCCCCCCT